TTCAAACGAGATAAGGGTGAAGTCGCAACCGCTCTTGGCATCACGAAGTGCAGGCTTAACACGCAATTCGGATACGAGGCTCGGATAGAAGGGCGTCTGTGAGTGGGTGGAGGAATGTATGGCTCTTGTTTAAGCCAGCTAGAGAAAAAAATGGCGCTTTCAAGCAAGCAGAAATTGCATACAATCGGTTCTCAATTTAGGCCTTATTTTGCCAGCGTAATTTCTCGATATGACCTGGTTATATGTGAGGTTGATGTCCGAGATGACTATCGTTGCGACCACTGCCATTATTATCATGATTGCATCTTGTCCCACAATAACGTTTCAAATCGCGTTTCCGCTGTTACTCGAGTCGTACAGGTGAAGTAGCTCTTTAACGAATTCTATAACGGCAACTTTATTTTAGCAGCTTCCATTACGTTTACCTGCTTCCCGCCCTACAGTTGCTCTTGGGCCAGCTGTCCGTGAGAGCCGATTCCGTCATTTGCTGCGCGATCCCCGCTTTCGTTACTTCACCGAGTTCACCACGACTCATTAGCTGGAGGGAGGCAGACAGACAGGCTGGATATACACATTCAGACAGTCGATTTCGCTGGATTCAGTGTAGCTAGCTTAGCCAGCTATCGTCAATGGGACGGCTCAATAAGCTTGAAGTGACAGCGAAGTATCGGGGCTCGAGTATCGTTCGTCTGAACAGTAACTGCTCCCATTCGTCCGTCTCAGTAAGCAGCTACTAGAGATGAAATAGCAATGTTCGAGGGAAACGGCTAGAATGGGTATACGATGAAGAACGAGAATGGCAAACCAAACGCGGTAATCAACCGACGGCTACAGAACTCAAGCAAACATGAAAACAGAGTAAGAAATAACAGATAGGACTAATTTGGCGGAAGGGAGCTCAAAATACCAGGGAACTGAACGCATTGCGTCCATGTCTATCGTGTCCTTTAATTTTTTCTTCCTTGTATTTGCTGGCTTTTGGTTCCAAGAGAAACTATCAGCAAACTGTTGTGAAGTGGGCGTGGTGGCGCTAATGTGGGCTGGCCAATTGGAATAAAAAAAAAAAAGCCAGATCTGGACGATGACCTGACCACCTGCCGTGGCAAGCTGTTTTTGTTGTCGAACCTGCGGCTGGATTTTTGCATTCGGATTTGATGGCAACAACTCCGTTGGCCTGTTATCCATTAATCAGAACCTACCCGCACGCCATATGTTCATCAGCCAGCGTTTATAAAATCGCTATTGGCGAATAACAGGGAGAGCACAAAGAAACTCACAGTACACAAGGACAAATAGTCAATCCTACACAATGCAAGCGCAGGTCTTGTTATACGGGAATTGAGTCCTCTATGATATGAAGTGAATGTTGTATTAAGACGTTTCTATCAATTTTTCTTTACGCTAGATTGTTATGCCTAACATCGTTCAGCAGTCAGCCGAATATGGAACGTGAGGAGTTTTTCGATAAAAATATACGTTCATGGTATCACACCTTTCTATAATGTTAGTAATGATAATATCGTGTCAATGACAAGTACAATTTACTATATTTTACATTAAGAGCTAACTTATAAAAGTGTCTTAACGCCTTCCCTGACTGCGCTTGATTCTGTTATTTTCATATTGTTATTGTGCATTCATGTGTTCAGTATTATAGTCTTCCTTTCGCGCAGGTCCGTAGCAGCCGGGAGCGAGCTCGTACGCAGAGCCTTTTCTTGCTTCTGCTGTCCCTTGTCTTTTTTGGCCTTCTTATTTTTCGTCTCCCTTTTTACATCGAACCTGCGCCACAGTCCTGATTGTACTGCTGACCCATTGGCTCCACGGTCCTATTGGCCCGCCTCTAAAACTCGTTTCGAGCAGCCCCTTGTTCTTGCAAAACAGCAGCTGCAAGACAGAATCGCACGAACGAGCGGAAAGTTTGAAAACGCGGGCGAGAAGGAAATCAAAAGTTTACTGATATCGACCCTGCTGCCGCTACCATTGCAGGAGGAAAAACCCGCCCATGTTAGGGGCCTATAGGGGTCTTTCTTTTCATTCTCTTTTGTCGAACGCGCTACTGCTGGCCCCCGATTCCTTTTTTTATGGTTACGGAGCATCGGCCTTCACTTGTCTTCCTCGCATCGAGTTCAATTCGATCACATTTGATTTCTTCTGTTCCAGTTCTGTTTCGTTCGTTTTGTATGGCTTTTCATTTTCCCTCAGAGAGAAGAAATCACTTTATCTTCGTCTGCATCTTTCCGAACCACCATAATACACCTACCCTTGACAAAAGCTTAATCGTATATTTATCGTATGGCGCACCTCCTGAAAGTCGGGCACCGCCGCAGCACACCGTGCTAATTGACATTCATACCATTCATTACCACATATGCATCTATACAGACATCAGAATAGAAGCCTGAGAAACTGAGAAGACACTTTGCCGGTGCAGAGAGTCTCGCGATGTGGCTGTCTATACAATGAAATAGATCATTTTCTACAAAAAAAAAACTTTGCAAAAAGGGAACTTATCTGATAAAAATGCAGACTTCTATCTTACTAACGTTTGTATAGATCACAACGGTGTTACACTGGATGAACTGATACGGGCTAAGCTGTTAATTTTTTATCGGTTGTACCCGCGATCCAACATCTACTTATTAGAATAACTTCAGATGTTTGTCTCGAACTTCGTCAGTTCAACCTTGGAAAAAATTCCCTCTATGGTAGTAAGGCGATACGAACACACATACATCTAAATTCGGCTAGATACGGTCTACAGCTCGGTAATATTTTCCATACCGTCCTTAATATTACTCTGTTTGCTTAAGGGCCGTAACTCGAGCGGCACTTTTTCTCGGCATAAAGCAGCGATCCAACTCCTGCATGAATTCGAGAAGCGGAAAACGGGATCTTTATCTGAGAGGTGCGTCGTGGTAGTTGGTAAGTCAATACTGACGGGCGAATGGAGCTCCCCTCGGAACTCGCTGCTGTAGCGATGTACATCGCTTCAAACCATCTTCCCCAAAACTCAGAAACCGAGCACAGAGGTTTCCTGTTAAAAGGACCCGGGCACAGGGGAGTCACGCTTGGCCAATTGGTTTTCAAGTGTTCATTTTCGATTTGTTGCCCCTCGTCGATTCTACAAGGCGACACCCAGCCGATCGTGACTTTCGCTGCCGTTCGATGTCGCCTGATGGAGTCCGTCGTATGGACTCGCAGGGCGGGTGCTCCACTTGTTCGAGGAAGACACCTCATTTCATGAGCGACTGCCGGAGAAGTACTGCTTCGACAGATTCGGCCTGCCATCAACCATTCTTCAGTCGTTCAGCCACTCAAGCGCGGACCATCATCTCTATCGAGGTGAGCGATCCTTGCCAGCAAATCATGCCTGGCTGTGACGTCCATGAGTCCCGTTTTGAGCTTATCAGATTCAACCGTCGAATGCCTATTTTTAATTCCGGTTGTGTGGTATGTACTAAAGTAAAAGTAAAGCAAATTTTAGTAACTTTTCAATAAATAGGCTTGGTCTGATGAAAGTTCTGCCATGAAAACCTTGTGGTTTTTTATGTTTAGGAATGAAGAGAACAACGCTGTCGAGCTGGGTAAATTCGTTCAATACTAGATACCGGAGTAGGATGAAGCTGTGTTTTTAAAAGGCTGAGCCTGTTTTCTCTCTCCATTTTAGGGCAGACGTGGTCTGCGAAATTTATCTTCATCGACCCTTCGATGGTAAAGATACAAGTCAGCAAAGATATACACCCGACGAAGTCGCTCATGCTTTTGCAGGTATTGCCGCGTCTTATAAGCACACTATAACTAAAACAGCAAACCTAGGTTCAGGTTTTAATAATGAACTGAAAATATGGCACCACATCGATGATCTCTGCCGCGAGCAACAGGGCGCAACATGATAATACACTATATAACTTTTAAGCTTCTTGCAATAGTGTGAAATGTTAAACAGTCATAATGCTATGATCCTGAACCAAGAAGTCGAGATGACTTCACATGACCCACAGCAGACTGCCCGGTGAAAAATTAATTTTTCTCTCTGCTGGGTCATTGTGACTGTAGATGCACAAATTGCTGCCATCTAAATAAAAGCCAAGCCAAATCGTCTCTTGGCAATATTGGCTTTAAGAATTTTTTTCTGTACCGAAAATATTAAATGAGCGTTTCAAATATACTTAACCTATAACTACAGCAAAAGCAGCTACCAATTTTTCTCTTCTCATACTGACTATCGATAAGTTTCAGCTCGAACATTTTAGTCACCGACCTGATTCGAGGCGAATGACTGGAGTCATGAAAAGGCCTAGGCCTAATCAGAACAACTCACATCTCTGTAACCTCAAAGGGATGGAGCATTGCATGCGCATACAAATTATGTTGCCATATCAAACAGAAAAGAGTATTTAAATAAAAGACCTCTCAAGCGGGAGTAAACAAGATTCTTTATGAAACGTTCCCGCGCAAGTACGAAAAAAAAACTGTTGATCCTATGTCCTCGTATTTTGCCAGTGTACGTTTGGCACAAACGAAGGGAAAACCTGTTATGCTATTTGTATTCCTGAAAGTGTGAGGAGACCATTCGCATGGTCGGCGCCCTTTGGGAACTGATCTGAAAAGACCTCTGGCAAACATGAAAGAACGCCTTTCAATTTATTTCGCAGGAACCCATTAAATGTGGGTTCTATTTAATAGCTAAGAGTTATGGGTGGTTCTATTTACTAGGCGACGCTGCTGGGCTTCTCGTGAGCATTTATTGCAATGCTTTACTTACTACATCTCATTAATAACCCAATCCCACATTATTCAGTAGACTTTCCAATGTACATAAAGACTTATATGTATCGTATATATATATATATCCATATGTAGACATATATGACCAGTAAACCAACTCAGTGTTCGGTTGCGCCAGGATTTAAGAAGATCTGAATATGGGCATTCAACCTCATAAAATCATCAGGATAATACAAAAAAAAAAGTCCATTTAAAGGCAAGCTAGGCAGCACTTCATCAAGCCACTCGAAATATTGCACGATCAGTAAATTGATATGCTTTCTTTTATTCTATAATAAATCAGTCGACTAAACATCATCGATGAAGTTGGTTAATGAAGTCACAAACTTTACTTTTACAAAATTTGGTATTGTTAATTTTATTTCCGAATATTTAAAGCCGAGTAATGTCGAGACGGACAACATTGATGATTATATCGTTTTTTTCGGCAATCGCTGATATAAATGAAAAAATCAACCTTATATAACCTACTTATATTGCCCATACGCAGCCAAAGTGTTACTTATTTATGCCGCTGTCCTACGGCCTGAATGCCTTGCGTTCACGATGAAAACATGCGAAATAGTCCACAAAGCCGATGGTTTATACATTTTTCGAATAAACTAGACCGAGCACACTATAGCAGAATGACCCATTATAGTAGAATATTGATTGTATATAGTCTGGAAACGTTACGAAAAATAATTAAGGAATTGGATCTCTGCTTTCATTAGCCACCGTAAACTCGTAGAAAGCAGCAGACGGTAGCGTCGAGATCCTGCAAGACAGTTATTAGCCTTAGCTTTTGTTTTTATGCCAAACATTCAGAGTTGTGTACTCTGCATTGAGGGTGAACGACTTGTAACCAGCCGATTCCATTACGGCGGCGGACACTAGGCTTATTCCTCGTGCACCCAAACTGAAAGCGTTATCCTAAATGTAATAATATACGGTAGCAGTAGTCCTGATCTTACGAAGGCAAAATGAATATCGTCCTCGCTCGGATCAAAGGAAGGCAACACAAACGCGCCTCTATCCTGTAGGCATTTCGGGATTCATACCTGAATACGCTTAAAGAGCTGCAGCGATAACCAAAATTAAAGTAATTCAACTGAAATCTCTTGAAGGTAATAGATCTCTCATCTCCAAAATCTACACACAGGGACATAGAGACAATCCATGCTCGCAGTCCGGGAAGCGCTACGAAGATGCATTGCTTTAGAAAAAAAACATAACATTATTTTGGAGATTCTTTTCTGCGTTTTCGAAACGGGTATCTCACGCTTTTATCAGTAAGCACCTGCCTGTGAGCTAAGCGCTAAGGATCTGTTGTATGGATTTTTTTCGAAGACTGTTAATGTCGTCGATCAACGTTAACGAGCACCCGCTCCCCTTTGACGCAGAGCGTAACAAAAATGACAGCCATTTTCCAGTAGTAAGCTTCTTAGTCGCTACTCATGTTTACTTGGTGTACATATATTTACAGTTACTGTGTTTTAGTTGGCCATATCTGTATCGACTCTTTTATACGGTAGACGACAACGTCAGTTCACTCGCTTTTATTGTGAGGCTCGCGTCCGAAGAACGTTCCATCGGGACGCTTGTCCCCGCACCTCATAGTATCAACTGTCGCTAGCAGCATCTTCATGGCTAAGCATATTCGACAATTGTAGACGGTTCACTACTCTGAATTCAATACTGTACATTTCTCCTAAAAAGGATCAATACATTCTTTTTTCTCTAGTTCACGGCGGTCAAGAACACTGCAGACGAGGCTAAGTGCCTCTCGAGCGAAAAGGGCGCTGATGGGTGTTCGTAGTGTTTAAAATAAGCAATAGTTTCTACAGTTTTTTACTTCATCCGGCCTGGGATTTAGTGACGGCTTTTTATTTACTGATTCAGGTTGTGTCCCGTTAGTTAATAACAATCACTTCTGCACACTCGGCAAATCATTTGTCGAGGTGCACGAAAGGTGTTCCTTCCTTCCTTCGTTCGTTCGACAATGAAGCGAGTCATCGGCCTAGCGGTTGACGCGTTCAGCGGAAACCGAGCACAGACAAATTGTAGTCCTCTGTTTTTACGCAAAATGCCTTGCATCAGCAATTACTTGTGCCTATCATAAAAACCATTATTATTAACGTTATCATCAATATCGTCATTATAATTAGCTTTCATCATTATTCGAAAAAAAAAAACGATATCTTATCTCCTCTATCTTATCGGGTACATGTACCTATTACGATTTGGTTTTTGGGTCACCCATTCATAGATTTCATCTTCGCAACTCGTTCCAACCACGTTAACAGTACAATATTTTGCATTTTAGGAACGGGACAGTGTCCCTTTACAATACATGTTCATACACACATACAAATTCGCTAGAAATGTTTAGAGATAAATTCTACTAAAAAAAAAAAAAGCCAAAAAAGTAAGTCACTGAAACATTTAAAACAATTCTGCTGCGTCTTGAGATGTTAGTTAAATCGGAGCAATGAGAAACCATTGAGAAATAGTCAAATACCCATAGGAAAAAGCTACTACGACCAGCTTTTCGGTGTATTCGAACCAGAACTTTAATTCAACTTTATTTACGTTCTGTAACTATTCTTTCACTTTGGAAGAACCTTCACGCCGCGTGGTGGCTCAACGTTGACATTGATATTAGGGTCCTCAAAATCAGGGTTTAATTTGAGATTACTACCAACTGCGGCACCACCAGCGGCGTTGTGGTTATTGAGGTCTTCAAGGGCGACGTTGCCTGCGACGGCATCATTTTCGTCACCCGGTTGTGGAGCCTGCGGATTTTTTTTGTTGTCATTTCCACCGCCACCCTCTTCGCCGTCATCTGGCCCTGCGTCATCATCCTTCAAATTATCGGGATAATCTCGATCCTCCTTCTCGACGGCCTTCGCGTTGCCGTTTTGACGAAACACCGCTACCTCGTTTCGATCGACATTCGCACCGAATTGATGACCTAGGAGAGATTTGCGCTCGCCTGCTGCATCAGCCTGGTGAAATTAATGAAAGAGAGGACGTAAAAAGTCATACTTAGCTAGCAGGCAAACTTATAGGCAGTAAGAGGGAACGCCTATAGCAGTTTGTGTGTGATGCAATTTCTTTCAAGGGCAAACCTCCAATGTAGTAGAAGAAATTTGAATACAGTGATGTGTAGTAACGATTTCTTAAGAACCTCATTTTGACACAAAGCATTCACTATACATTGACATGCAGTCAGATTTCATTAACTGCACGCGAACAACTTACGCTCTTCTGTCAAAACACCATCTATGGTAAAAGTCATTGAACAATAACATTGTACAGTAGCTTGATTCGTCGTAAACTGGTCATTACCACACTGAAGGACACAACTCCAGATGCATGTAATCTTTATTGGAAAAATCTAATTTTACCGTAGCTTTATAAATATGCTATGAAACATTTACCTCGTACGCATCTTGCACAACTCGTAACTTACGCAGCGTGTATCAACCACTCATTCCTCTGATTTCAATGTAAATGCATTATAACTAGCCCACTAAACCTGTGTCGACCTGCTAAACCTCAGAGAATAGAGGCTCAGCTTGCGTAACTTACCTGCTGCATGGAATCAAGCGGAACGTTTAAAATTCCTTTGTTCTCATCGCCGCCAGCAGCCTCAGCTCCTGCGGGTGCATCCGCAACGTCAACTGCTTCACCAGCAACTGGTAAAGGCTTAGCGCTCGAGGAAACTCCCAAATTTTTTCCCTGAGGCACCGGAAGAACAGCCATATCCGGCTTTGGTGACCAACAGAACAAAACAGAACACAAAAAAGCAAATATAGAAACATGTTTGAGGTTTTTATTATACTAGATTTTGCACATATTACCAATAACGTGCTACCGTTCACTGGATGTCGCAGGTATTCCATTGCAAAAGCTGCCATATATAGGGTGATGCGTCTAAATTGAGACTTGTTCTGTGCATCTGAACAGAAGCAGATACTTGATCGGAACTTCTTCAGCATGCGCTAAAGGTGGCATCCCTGATGGTCATATTTATTAACTATTAACCACTATCCACAAAAACTACAATTCTGGACTTAACCACTAACTAGTTACATTTACTATAATCGTACTTTGATCCACAAAAGTATTTCAAACAATAACAACTGCTCGTCAGGTAACATTGCAAGGTGTTAACTCAAATGTACTACATTTTGGGCTGATCGCAAAAAATACAGGGCTCAGAACTGGCAAAAAAGAGCCGAGAGTCTCAGAAAAGCTAATGGTTGAGGTTTGGCTGGACGATCCAACGTACAATCTCCTCTCGGTGCTCGTTTCGCAGAACTTCAGCGCATCACAAATAGCGTTTTGGATCATTTTGACAAATCGGATTTTTTTTCGAAGCCGCATAAAAACTGGCAATAACATACGCAGTCAGTGCCCGGCAAAAAGTGGAACGTCGAGTGTTAGTGGGGGGTTCGTCCAACGTCTTCCCGTTACGGCAAAGAGCCCGCTCATTTTTTTTCCAATTTAAACGCACCACCGTATTTAGGTATTAGAATTGAATGATTAAAATTCTAATTACGTGCACGTTTTTAATCAAAGCATAGGAATTAATCAGCATATAGGATCACATTTGCCATGCGAAAATGACTTGCAAAAAGAATCAAAGCTATGTGTGTGTAGCCTGCGTGATATCCTACATCCCCCTCCATGTGTCCAACTCACACATTTAACGAGCTGTCACAGAAATTGAAATACGAGAAACTGTAGTTTCAATTTGAAGGGCTCCCGACTTTCCTATTGCTGCTATTATCGGAAAAGTAACAGGGTAAACATTACGAATATACATGATCTACCAAACCTGACACAATTATTAATGGCTGTGCTATAAACCACTGAAATGGGCTAGTTTCTTTTTGTCAAGTAGAAGAGACGCTGCCTAATCGGCCCTGTAATCGAACGACCATTATCCAGCTACACCTAAAAACCTACACAGCTATTACCTAAAAATCGTTCTCATATCAGCAACCACCCGTGTCATTTGTTTTCTATATTGCATTTCTGCTTGAACCGGCTTAATGTCCCTGACAACGAGACGTACCGTCATCTCATCCGGGGCGCCAGCCTGGGCTAAGGAATCGTTGGATTTCGCTGCTCCGGCATTTGTATCGCTACCAGCTATGACCGGTCCGGAAAACTGTCCCGTAGCTGCCGCGTCGAAGGTCCGTGATACTTCGTTTCCAGCACCCGTCTTGAAAAACCGCCGAACCCCCAGATGCAAAGACCACCACCCAATTGAGACCAATGTACAAGCAATTGTTAATTTGAGCATGACACACCTTGTTAGGGATGTTAAGTGTTATATCAAATAGATTCGATTAGTGAAACAAAGATAGGAAAAATGTTTACAGTTATTGCTTCCGACGACAGGTTTATCGAAGGCCAGTGCGTTTTTATTTCAAAAAAAGCACACCGAAAACAACTATATTGCATGCGTGAATGACCAATTATGCTGTAACAACCAAAAGTACCCTAATGATTATCTCCGAAGTGTATATTTTTAAGTATTCATTATTTTATTAAAAATAACGGATGCTTTCTTAGACAACATTTAGACGGAGGTTACAGACAACTGGGTTTTGTACGACATTTGAAGAGATTCGAAAACTATCAATTCATCAATATCCCAAATTATGGCTCACTTATGAAGAACGTCATCCAGGTTGTCGTGGATGACGTTCTTATGTCAACGTCACTCGAGGACCTCCATATGATCTTTCCTATCGGTTGACAACAAGTCAAATTCATCTGTCCTTAGAATTGTTTGTTAATTAGGTGGTAGATGTCGGTGTATTTAGGAACTACATTGACGCAGGTTATTTGTAACGTGCCGTGCAACTTAAAGTCCTTGTCTTAAGTTATAATTATACCATCACCAGTGGACATTGACGGCTCCACGGCTTAAGCCGTTAAGCACCCAGCGCGTGACTAGCTTTCGCCTACGTTCGATTTGCTGAGAAAGGCTTTTGCTGTCATCGCTTCCGGGGGTCAATTTTTGTGTCACGGCTCGGTATCGAATTCGGCGACCTCTCGATTCTCTGTTGTGTATTATAAACGCACCGACAGGCAAGTACTCAGTCCCCACGCTATACGTGAACATTGTGTAGTTACGACGCGTATGAACGTGTCCATGCGTAAGATATGCACGATCGCTAAGAAACGCGTGCAGTTCCTTAGCTAAGATTCGAATACAGGTTTCGAACGGCGTAAGCAACGGGCCGATCATTCCCACCAAGAGGCGCAGTCCATTGGAAATCTATTGCCATGTTAATTCATCTTTGACAGAGAGGCACGTAACGCTATTACTACGCAGAAGTTGGGCTATGACTGACGCCATGCTGATGAATACCATGAAGACAAAAATGAGGCGCGAGTAGCATCGATGCAGTTTATGTTGTAACAAATCATCGTTTTCCAACAATCGACATGTTAATCATTGCCGGCGAGTAACTCAGAGCGATGAAGTTCTAATCGTACGTATGTATATAGATTCATGTATCATTACAGTAGGTTTATTTAGGCTGCTTATGCTAAGTTATCTCCGTTCTTTTGAAGTTGGCCACGCATCATATTTGTTTTCCAGCTTAAGGTGGTAGCCTTTTATTTAAATCTAAATTGTAACATATATTAAAACATGTTTCAACTCTTAAGCAACATGTTAAGCAATGCAGGGCTCCCGTGAGTTCGTTACATGTGTCACTCTCAAACAACCTTATTATATTATACATGTTCCGTTGGCGTTATCAAATACTGTACAGACAATATGCATCCACAAACATTTGGGTGTTGTCAATACGTTTCATTCAGAGCCATTTTGGGCTAATGTATAAGGATAGGTTTGTAAAAGTAGGCTCCCACCTCTGAGATACGCAGTTACACTCCAGTGTTAGTTGGAACGCAACATTACACTTAGACCGCGAGAGCCCACGAATGTATTCATACACTCGTACCTATTCTCTCTCTCTCTCTCTCTCTCTCTCTCTCTCTCCTCGCCTCTCTCTCTCTCTATATATATATATATATAAGATGAACCCCAATATCTGCCATAACTGTTTATTTCACTTTTTTTCCGTAGAATTTTTCTGCGCGCATCAAATTCGCGCTTGACGCTCGAGGGGGGAGAGATTTCACAAGAGATATATTGGATCGATTCCCAATCGATTATAGACACAGTCAGCAATAGCACGGTCTCCCCTGAAGTGGTGGAACAGCTTTGTTACACTCGACGGGGCGGGCACTTTCGAAATGACCTGTTTCACTTGGTACAATTTGCTATACAGACAACTCACAACAAAAACAATCAAGCCAGTCCAGTCTTTTGCTCGCGCGTTTTGTTCTACTGTAGTAGTGTATATGCACGCGCGACAGATATATATATATAGATGAGTATGTTAGCACAGCATTGCTCGATAGCTGCGGTCTTCTAAAACGGGGTAAAGCGGAAAACCTAGACAATAAAATGAAGCCGATACACGACTGTGTGATCAATGTTAGACAACAGTCGCCGAACTAGGGATTAAACTTCGAATGGACTGAACTTGAAGATACGAAGACTTCTGCATAATCGTAAATAGATAAGCGGACTGCAACCTTACCGTTTCGGTTGCGCGCTTCACCGACAGTGATAATTTCATTTGTTTCCATACTTGTTCTAATAGAATGTACGAATGCCGTGCTTTGAGCGTAGCTGTTCGAGATTGGCTGCATTGGCAGGCACAGCATAAAAACGACTGGCGGCATCGTGACCAGCTAAAAATCGGGGTATCGCTATAACTCCTCTATAGTTTGAATTTGGGGCTAAATTCAAGCCATCATTTGCTCTTTCGTCAATTCCCACCGGGGACTCGCCGACCACTTGTGGGCCCTGGAGGCCTACCTCGTTGGATAGAGCGAATTTCTGAATCGCCGGAGCAACGAGTGATTCGCGCGGATGTGACAGAGAAGGCGCAAGGTGGGGTCGAATCCTACGCGATTGCGTACGGGAAATCGGTCGTCGGCTTGAAGCTTCAATCGGTGGCAGTAACACCTATTTATGTATGAAAATTAATTTGCAACGACTCTTTGATTTTTCACGAGCTAAACACACACAGTTTAAACTGTTAGTATTACTTACAAATATGTCATCGACTATGCATACAATTGCGTACGTTTATCATTGTATAAAGTAATAATATATACGTAAATACATTTCGAACAACTAGCCGATATGTCAAACTTGAATAAAATGATGTGAAAAAAACGCGCACATCTTCTTTTTAGTTATCTATCCCCTGTTGACCAATCTTCTCTTGAAGACAGCCCGGTTTTTTTGAACAATGGCTCAACAACAACAAAGATCAAGGTGCTTGATGAACAATAGATGTATCAAGATTGTTAGTTCAAACAGAGTCACGTTTTATGTCTAGAAAGGCTATAGATATTCCAACAGGTGTTTGCGTTATAGTGCAACGTACCGAAAAACACCTATAGCGGGCAGCTGGTTCGGGCTAGTTTTGTTGTTAAAACAAAAGACTGGCAACAGTAATTGTGGCATAGCGTTAAGGCGCGGCAGTACTGATATTACGGCTGCTATTGATTGCTAGACGTAATAGTTCTCACTACGTCTACGATGTAATTGCGCTCCCGTATAATCGATGATTACTACCTCTTCGAGTGTTGTGAGCAGGGTTTATTCGTATAGGTTTATGGAAGAGATCTGTCAAGTTTGGAATTGCGATTGAAGCTTGGAACTAGTTACAGATACGATCATTAAATTCGGCTAGCGGGGCCCCACAGATGAATGAAGAGAGCAAAAATCCTAATGCCTTATATTCAGTAGAAAATTGTTGTGAAAGAAGAAACGCTCACTCAATGAATTTCTTGAGGACGCTTGACACGTTTGTGAAAGCTTCGACCCGTTTCTTTGCCCATTCCAGCGCCATCTGACTAATACTATCAATGTCAGCACGGCTAACCCGATGACGCTTAAGAGTAATGCGGGACAAAAGTAAACGATTTCAGTTTGAGTTCCTCATGTACGACGTATCCCAACAGATTGCAAATCAGTACATGAAAGTAGTTATGCCCTGATCGACCTGGAATCTTCGTTCATCGAACAAACGGACCTTCTCGTTGGCCCGAAGAGTAGCACCGGCAGCAAAAGTAGCACGTAGCATACGTATGGCTTTGTACCCTGCGTGCCTAGACAGCGTACGTAGTTTCCGGCAGCTCACGGCTAAATTAGTCATATCACAGCGAAAACGCCCTAACTTTCCCTGTTCCTTTCTGTTGTTTGTTTAGATACAATGCTTGAATAATTCGGATGTCAGCTTATAATCGTATGGCTCCGTTTGCTTACCCTTTCGTCGCCAGCATGATCATGTCCAGGGGCAACTGCCCCTTGTCCAGTTTGTTGTTGTTGACGGCTGGCCTGATCAGCATCGCACTGACGGACCCTTTCGCGGAGACGTTCCACCTCGTTCATATCAATAGGTTCGCTCTGCTGCATTTTGTGGACCTGCAGAAGAATCTCAGGATGTTAGCTGCGCTTCGGCTAAAAAAAGATTATCGATTTTAGCCAGCCGCTGTAAATATGAACTGCTAATTAATGGAAACAACAATCTATTGATCATATATCATTTAGAGGGTAATTGGTCAACGCTGTGTATACTAGAAAGTGTAATGAACGCTACGCGCCTCTTCTTCGAGCTTGTGGTTGTTATCCTTCAGTTTTTGGATCTGCAAATTCAGCTCCTCATTTTCCGAGTAGAGTTTCTCCTTGTCATTTCGCAGGGACTCGTACGTATTCTTCAGCTTAATGTACTCCTCGTTCCGATTAGTCTACAGCGTAACACCGTTCAACACAAATAAACATCAAATGAAACATGTAAATAATTCATAACGGTAACTTCTCGTGGTCAATTCTGGCATGTTCCTATCACTAACAGTCAATCACCGACCGAGCCATGGCAGTGAATGATTATCGCAGGAACAAAAACATCTTTGAAGAAATATCTAGCGGGATTAATAGTATCGTATGCGCGTATATACATGATGACATAAGTGAGGTCTTTCGTTTATACCGAGCGCTTATTGGAATATCGGCATTTTCGTGTTTGACTTATCAGGATTGTTCCATCATTTTTACCTTGAGTTCATCGTTTTGACGCTGTAGTTTTGCTACTTTTTCTGCTTGGACAGCTCGTTCCTTAGAAAGGGCTGACTGCATGGTTTTGAGCTCGTCGTCGACCGACTTCTTTCGTTCAATCTCTGCTTGAAGTGTCTTCTCCAAACGTGCCTTGTGTTCATATAAAACCTGCAAGACGGAGAAGAGATGTCACCCCAAATATAAGAAGACCACATACGACAGCAGGCTGTAGCGCCTGTAAACTTTTCCTACATTCCATACAACTAAAATAGGTCCTAACAATGAATAGGTGCATGTTTGTGAAAATATGTGGTTATTAAATAAGGAACTTCGAAAAATAAAATTTCCAACTCCTTCTATAATAAACAAAAGCCTGTAATATGAAATAAGAAAAACTACTATGAACCAACGTTTGACACTATTTACCTTGCTATATTGCATTACGGCTATTTTATTGATTATTTTCTTTTTGCAAAGGTTGTCTAAATTCGACGCAAATGAATAAAAGCAGATGGGCCTTGGTTAGGGTTAGGTTCCGTAAATAAGCGGGGCGAAACTAAGCTTTCGGCGATGAAGATATCCTAATATATGATGAGACAACTGAGTGAATTCTTTTTTTATAATATATTGTATAATAACATCGATAATATCATAGAAATACGCAATGTTGCAGAAGCCCTATTCGGTCAAGGGTGTGGGTAACGTCGCGAAGGAAAAATTAATGGGCCAAGAAATGAGGTAATATCTCTGAGGGTTGAGGGAAGATTACGCACAGTGAGTTGCGCAGCGACTGAGTCATGTTTTTGTTGGCACTTTTCGACGTCGTCCTCGGCTCGCCGAAGACGTGAATGGGTCTGCGACAGTAACAAAAGAGAGACCAACATTGAGGCGCCCACTACAGCCAAAACCACGTTGCGCTGCCGCGCTGCCCGAAGCGTCATCGTGGCCACAGTCATGGCAACCGAAGGCAACGGGTTGCTGACTGCAACACTACGAACGCCAGCTCTCGAACTTCACCAGGTACGAAAAGTTGGACCAGTTCTGGAAGGACAGTAGTAATAGAGAGAGAAAGTGAACAAATGCATGAAAGGGCATATAAATAAAGAATTAAAAAAGGACAAGGTGTTAATCCTGTTGAGCTAATTGAGTGACCGTAATTAGCTCAGCGCAGATCGACACGCATTAATAGTACGGTATACAAACGATTCTGTAGCTCCAGGAATAATCAAATTTTCAAGTGTCCTAAAGTAAGTATGTTTGAGGCATTAAGTGAAACTTGTTTAAGGTACCGGTGTGATAAGCACTAAATTACGGGTAGCACTCACTAATACTGTTAGACATAAGAAAATCTAAGATACAAATACATCTGCATGAAAAAAAAATAGTAAGTGATGATTTTTTCACAGTGATGATGAACTTGTTAAACAAGTTGTATACTTGCTATAAAATCAACGATATAAAATACCGTGAATCTGAAGATGTCACTCACGTGAAACTATCTATTCTTGTCTAATACGGAAGAGAAGTTACCGGAGTCTTCTACCCAATCAACGCAATCACTAGGAGTGGCCGTGTGAAATTTTCCTGGAACACCGGAAGTCACACAGCTTTCGCCGTTAACGAGCTGCGACAATACGCCTCACGCCATCTGTGATTCAGAGACGACACCAGGCATTAGGGCTAGCAGTTGACCTTTCGAATATTTGTCCAGGCAACACCATTTGGCCCCCACACAAACGCATAATACTCCTTAACTACAGAAGGAAACACTACGTAGGATAAAGTATGTGATTATGCAACATCAATTATCTCTATTGGGTCGAAAGGTTTTGACAACAAAAATATCAGTGCAGATTTGCAAGCTCTATGCGACTCTAAGGGGTCTATGCGGGGGGTACGCAATTTTCACCTATCTAAGATCAGCCAGTCTATTTGCAGATTCTTTGTAACAAGGAGTGCAATACGTTATTCAATATACTGCTCATTGAACAAACAAATTTTCGACACGACTGAAGTTACTTAAAACTTATCCAATAAACCAATGAAACAATATGAAAATCATACAAACAGCTTTTTTCGCGATTTTCTATTTTTTCTTTTTGTTTTTCTGATAGCTGATTTCTGATCATTTTTGGCAACCCTGTGATTTAAACCAACGTGGCAGAACGCTTATTCGTTATGCTTTTCATGACAACGCACTCAGAGGCATTAGCCGCCCAGATAATGCCGTTGAAAAATCAGCAAAACTTCACGGCCAATTTGCCCCTAAAAAATGTGAAGAGGTCAACTTGTCCATAAGTAAATTGTATTAGGCTTTTGCAAAGTTGCAGTTAGAAAAAGAAATGCAAATCGACCAGTACAAGGCAAGCACCCTCGCATGGTTGAGGCCTGCCTTCATGTAGTAAAATCGGGAGATATCCATTGAAAGTGCACGTTTAAATCCTATGGAGAGATCATCTGACAAACCATGATTGAATTCGGTTGTGAGCTGTTACATTGTTACTAACGGGAGGCATGATGTTCATTTTTGCTAACTTAATAAATATATTTAATGAAGATAATTAGCGACAATTAGGCGTGGTTAAACTCGTCGTGTTAAATTTAATTACGCTGAACAGGCTGATTGGATGTATGCCTTCATAGAAACGTTTTAACCATCGCGATCTAATATGCCCACCTTTAGTAACCCGCAATTTATAACCGTTCTAGTGTACTTTCGGCTGGAACGAATGTAAAGTGTGCCTCCAGATTTGAGTGACCGTTTCTAGCTTCTAGCCATCTTAAAAAAAAACCCCTGATACACCTGACTACAGCTTGGCGAACAGAATAAACTTGTCTATTAGATGACTTTTCGTCAATACCATTACGATTTGTTTCTCTGCAAATGATCAACAACAAAGAAAACAGTCTGCTACGTGCGCGAACATTCTCTCCTCTTTGGTTCAACCCCATATTCTCGGACGTACCATTTACACAAAAACGGTCTGTAATCATACACAGTGCTTCAACCAGGACCACAAAGCTCCAGATCTAAATTTTGAGAATGCGCAAACTGAGCTGCGTTATAGGGTTAACATGGAACAATACCATTTCCATATCAATGATGCTCTTCCGCCGTACTTCGAATCGTGGCCTACAAATGTATTTAGGTCCGATTACGGAGCCTATGCCAGTCAGCAAATGATTACAACAAACTGATCACAGGAAATGTCCGCCAACTTTGTTTTGCCCGTTTAACATCGAAGCCGTCGGCCATCTGCTTCAAACGATATCTAAGAACCCATACTGCTATGGGACCTTTGTATAGTTAATAGGTACAATTAATACACGGTAAGTTTACAGTCTTAATCTATAATGAACAGGTCTCTCTCTATCATTTTGAGAAATATTCCCGAAACACATTGGGCTTTTTAAAAAGTAGATAAGGATAAAGGTCGTACTGGTAGATTACCGCTAGCCTTGTATTGAAATAGCATCACTATTCAATCTTGCATATGAAGCTATTCTGAACTAATAAAAAAATTACCTGTTACTAGTTCGAACTACAAACAGGTCTCATTCATAGACACGGTTCAGCGAACACAAAAGAACCTGGGAACGGCCTCCGGAAGGAGGTTCCCGCTTCGCAGTAAGCAGAAATTGCAGTTCGCAGGCAGACAAAACTGATACCCGTAAGCATCAATTGCTCTCAGGGTGACCAGTCAGGCATTGGAGATAGCCTAGAGCTATAAGCTCAGATGCAGTCTGACAGCCAAGGGTACTGTTGCGTAGGAGTTGTGATCGCGTATATAGATACAAGCATGAACTGCCACGAGCGGCAAATCTAGGCGAGGAAAGCCAGCTTCTCTGTAGACCAAAGACTACGACTATAAATGGAGAAGTTCGCCACAGATGATTCTCGGAAGACCAGCTAGCAGAAGTAACAGAATAACAAGGTAGATAAAAAAAAAAACAGTATTTTATACTAGTGGTAACTTTAGATAGCATTTAGAGATTTACCGAACAACGTGTATTCTACGTAAGTACCATAAAACGTTGACGTTTTATACAAACAAAGGGTATAGAAAGGGGTGCGTGATTGTAGTCACGCAAATAAAAACCTATTAGAACACTCACTGTAAGAAGTACTACGGAAATTAGTTTGTAGTATCATTGCACAGAAACGTATCACCCTCACGAGATGGCATGGTAACGGTGCGTTGAATGCCGAAATGGACCGGTTGCGTATTAAATTTTACATGTCACTGATTGGCACATACTACTAGGCACGCCATCGGCCCGACCTTTTAACAACGTCGTTCGAAGGCCTATGCCTTTCCGATCATGATATGGTCGAAGCCACGTTTCGAATCAACAATGTAAGCATTTTTGGGACCTGTCGAACCATAAAGCAGTAGTGCCCACATGGGTTTTTCGGGCCGCTATCTTCGTTTGACATTGGATACTTTCATTTGCTAGAATCCTTCAAGGCTGCTGATGCTGCTGGCTATTGCCTAGATGTAGAAGCATGAAGCGACAGTAAGCGGCTCCAGCCAGGGTCAATGATCCCTACTATAGGATACTTTTTAGCTTTCATCATCACAATGGATAAAGTTATGGAACATTTAAGATATAGGTTTAGAAAAAATGAATATTTCATCTCAATTTTGCCTGGCTATGCGTTTGTTTTTCGAACTAAATCCATTACGTTCGATCACTGTAAGCGGAAACAGCTCAAATAAGCTGTTACATGTTTGGCCTAATAAATGGTTTAGCTAATATGTTAGCTATTTGTAACGATCGCCTTTTCCGGTTAGATTTTTCGGGTATATCCACATGTTCTATTTTTCCTCAATAGCCTGCTTTTGGACCTATTTTTCAGTGGTTTGCTAGTTGTTTTGTTCTCAGCTGGATTCGAGTTGCCGCTGTTGAGCAGAAGGCCTTACTCGTACAAACATCGTGATCTACAACGAGGTGTAGAGTTGACTATTTTTAAAAGATCACGCTTAATGTACTGTAATTAATTTTAGGTAGGAGAAAAACGTTACAACTACGTCGGCTGGCTGAAAAATGGTATGAACCGTATGGAAAGCAGACCGTTTTACCTTTCGCGCTGGATAGAGCGGTTACTGAGCTGGCTTAAATGCCTAAATGCATTAAAAGGCGTAAATGCAAAAAAAGGCGGAAATCAAGACCAAATCCTAGTCTTTTGCTTGCTTAAGTAGAAATTTCATTCCGGTGTGAAAAACGTATGAATACGCCGTCGGCTACTACCTGCGAAAAAAGAACTAAAATTCATCTAGGTTCGATTATCAACTATTGGCCGAACAGTGCCCATCCCTAGCTATAACACTTTTCAGGTTAGGTTGCACATAGGCTGTTATTGATTAAGGACGAGTAGTCTTTAAGCAATTTCTAAAAGGTGATTTGAGCAACTTTGCAGTTTGTCCGATTCTTTGCTACATTTGGCATAGTAGGGCTAGTCCTGCAATGACAAAAAAATCCAGCGAATGGAACAAGCAAATATCGTGTATATGGCACCTGTCTGCTTAATCGACACCTAACCCGAGCTGATCACTATGGGGCGAAACGCTTATGTTATATTAGACAACCCAAAGCAATTGATTAAAGTGTAAACATCAGAATAAGACAAAACTGTTTTTCTTCCATTGTCGTAGCTATACGAATATTGCGGTGGCATCGATACCGATGTAAGCGCATTTATCACCTGTCCTCAGATATTGTTGATGGTTCTCCATTTGGCCTATTTTGCCTAAGCGTCGTTAATAACAGTCCATCGCCATATTATTGTGACAATAAATTTAATCGACCGAAATTGATAGGTTCGCGGACTTCCGATAGTAACACCGATCGCAAAATTTCACACGCAACGGTAAAATTAAAGGCCTCATTTTGGAATCTAATCCCGGGACCTGAACGACGGAATAATTATGAACATCCAACTTACAGCGTATAATCATTATTATATAAGGCTTGGTGACAATGACTCAAAATTAACAGTGTACACAGAGCCCGATCTAGTATTTCAATCGCTTCGTTGTTTTGACGCGATACATTCTATGCACACTTCGCATGCACACAGAAGAAACCAGTCACTGAATGCCGTCGGACGCATCAAGCGTTCCTTTTTCAACTCCCTTTCGTGATGAGAAGATGCAGGGAATCATTCGACGAGACGAAAGCTAACATTGCAATCATTTGGACCAGGCCAAGCAGATGTAGAGGATCGACTGCAAAATATGGTTCTCATTAGAATCCCCCACGGACGAAGCGCATGGCGAATATAAATCGTCTAACGGAACAGTAAGTACTTCCTTGTGTGGTGGCGACCAATAAAAAAGGTCGATTGGGCATCGGAAACGACCACTTACAGATACATGAAAAACGTTTCCATCCAACCCAGATATCAGTAGTCTATACTTCTAACATGATCCGTTTCAAATAGCTTCCGATTCAATTAATCAGCACACATCTAAGTAACGCTAACTAATAATAATTGTGCTTTCTCGCGTATTATTAGATAGTTCTGAGTGAATCCTATCGGTGATATTACATTCTGGAAAATTTCAAGGAAATGAGAACGTTACCATTTTAAACGTTGAACATTTTACTAGTGATACATAAACTAATATACCGAAACGAAGATAAACCATAGTTATGTCAGCAGCTTACCTTCCGTCGGGTCTGTGCAATCCTGCTGGTTACAGTACTTTGTACCGGAGCTGTGATGTCTCTGAATATGCCGATCAATGGGCCTTTTGTAGATCTTTGCACCGCTGCACGACAATGCGCTACCAACGTAACTCTTCCAGGTGATTGCACTCACACAGGTGAAGATACTCCCACCTATTGCACTCACTATCGCCTATAACTACATATACCATATTTAGCTTGAAATGCCAAACATTCTATGAACATCTAACGCAGGATCCATACGGTCGCTGTACAGTACTCTTGTTACTAACGTTGTTTCACTAGTTTGTTGAAGAAGTTTCTTTCCTCGCACGAATCTTCCTTCTAACTAGAATCTCGCCGAGTTCGACATGTTCTTGCCCACCATGTCCCTTCACTTGCTTTTTCGTTTAACAACAAAAAACGCAGCGTACTCGATTCGAGTGCCGGCGTCAACGAACGGCGACAAATCTCTGGATGACGGGCCGCTTTATTGGTGACCACGACTGTGGTTCCTGCTGCCGCCGACATGCGGCTCTTTCTGGCACCGCTTGACAGATGCGAGCAGCGATAACAAAGTAGCGACAGAAGCAGCAGGAAAGAGCGTTCGAGGGGACCCGATTCTTCAAGTCTTCTTGAAGATCATCATCGTAACGTTGATGCTGACGCAGGCTACGCTGTGTCGACTGTTCACTGCAGTAACCAACTTTCTGCTATTGGCCTCGCCGCTGCTCTGAGGTAAAGCTGAAACAGCAGAAAGCTGACGAAGTTATCGCAGTCACCAGCAGTGCAATTCCGAAAGCTCGCTGAGACTACGGCGCTTGGTGCGCAGCCGTTGATCTTACCGTCGCCTGCTAGCGCTTTTGCAGCAGAAATCAAGCGCGCGTCAACAGGCGCCTGCTTACAACGTTTGCACTCTAGCTAACGCTAGCGATCAGTAGTACTACGGCCACATTTTACTAAGCATATAATGAAAGAGGGCCACTGTCGCTGTCGCAGCTGGCTGCTAGTGCGCAACTGCACACGCGTTCACTGTATGACCATCTCCGAAGGCAGAGACTCAAACGCGAGCAGCGCCAGTCCGTCCACGCATGGCATATTTGGGAAAGAGGAAGGAAATGGAAAACTACTATCGCAGAGTTGTAGTCTGCAACGGCAACCACTGTGAAAAAGAGAGAAGCTCACGGCAGCGGCGAAACAGCGCCAATGAATCACGTCGTTTTTTTGCTCGATGGAGAACAGTGGCTGACAACGAACGGTTACCTCTCTCTGCAGTCCCGTCACCTAACACACAAAACATATACAAACATACAAGATCCACCGCGCACATCGCATAGAACACGACCGGCGAGTCCCTTTCGTACTGAGGACATGACAGTGCCGCTGTTGCAGCAGCTTCTTGACGGTGGCGTGCTGCTGGCTAGCTGGTAGGCATCCAGGGACTCAGGCAAGCAGGCTCGGCTTGCTCTCCTTCTGCCTGAGCTAGCAGCGGCCAGCGGGGCCAGCAACCTCCTTAATTGATCCTGTGGGTTAGCCAATACCGATAACACGAAGGAGGAAAACGGCGAAAAGGTGCCTTTTTGTTTCGTGGCTATCAATCTACACGCAAGTACGATACATGCTTATTACTGATGAATAGTTTTTTCCCAAGTGGCAGTCCGGCTGGTTGGAGAGTGCTCGATTATGGATTCCCTGCTTTGGTGACCATTCGGTAATAGTTACTTTTCCGCCCTCGGAATCTGTCACTTACTGGATAACATAGACATAGGTGCCATCAAGTCGTAGGAAAGGCAGGAACAGCTATCACCGACTCGAAAAAAAATGCAACGCACAATACTGTTGCGGAACTCCTGCAACACAACTGGGTGGAAGCTTTGTGAGCATGGATGAATGCGATGCTATCAAAAATTTCGGCAGACAGGAAAGGCGGGCAGCCATGATTCCATCTGTGCGATTCTGCTGAAGGGAGGCCGCCGTCGAGGGATACAAAGACACATGATACGCACATGTCTAGGGTCTCGCCTGGCCTTAGGAGCATTACTAGAAAGTTCAGCATTCAAAAGAGCCTGTATATTATTAGGGCAGATCAACGAAAATCTTGTATATCACCTTCAGATAGAGAACGTGCCGTGCTAAATGATCTACACACAGATCATACGGAAAATTATGGTTATCTCCTATTTTTCAAGAGTATGTTATAGAACAAACTCAGCCAACCAAATACCTTCCTTATTTTATCTCTTGCTCCCGCGGGCTCTCGATGTTTCACAAAGAAGAAATGTGTTTTGCAGTCCTTTCTGAAAGATGTAATAAACCAAGTGAATGAAATGTTAAAATAAACCAAGTTGTATTGCAGATGCTGACAGAAGGCTCGGACTAATAGAAACTCAGTTAACTGATTCAACTAATACGGCCAGTTGCACAAACACTGTTGTTTATATGGATGCCTTGAAACAGTAGGACGTAGGGAATGTGTCCAATATGGTCATATTTTTTGTAAGAGGTAAAACATATCAGCACCAATTTTTGCCCCCAATAAATAGTAACACTGACAGTCCTAGCTATGAATGCACTAGGGAATCGCACGTCACACACTTTGCACTCCTTTTGCTCCTTTGTATGCAACAAACATCCTTGTCTCACCCCAATACGCCCTGTGCTTCAGGGAACAAAAACCAGTATTAGACGAAAAGCAAATGTCTGACTTGGAATTCACACGACGAGAGTGTTTTGATTCAGCCAACGACACTATTTGGTAAATTACAACGCCATCATTATATAATATAACTATACGGATCCATAGGCTACACCTTACGCTTGTCTGCTGCTAATTCAACCATGTAAGTCATTGATATTGCACTCAGCCGAACATAAATTACCCCAACAGTTACCGCTTTGTAATTGCCTTGCTCCGTCTAACCCATTATCCTTTTGCGGTTATTTTATAACCCTGTTTTCATATGAATTCGATTTGCGTTGCACATAGATAAACGTAAACAATTGCTCAATGCCAGGTATACAGTATTCCATTGCAAAACTGCTGAAATCCTACAACAGATCCTGCTTCCCGTTGCCCCATTGAATATCCAAATAGTGCTACTTATACAATGCTACGTAGCCGGCTTCTCCTAATCTATTTATATGATTTATGTTGAGCAGAATTTGACATAATGCTCGACTACAATTTGACACCCTTACAGCCATACAATTATAGTTTACCTGAGCTCCCGTTGGATCAACTCGATTAGCCAGTCACAGTAATTATATCCTATTATCCTGTTCTACTAGTTGGTAATTGTTGTGAAATAAATGTTCCAATAATCTTGTTACTACATGACAATAAATCCGTTATCCAGCTACTTTCAGAAGCTTACAACTGAGCTACACTTCGAACTCTACTCAAAAAGTATCAATATGAAGCCAAGCAAATCTTTATCTTCTTGTTCGTGTAAAAATGACCTCCGACTGCGCACACAAGGAGTGTATCTGAGACCTTACCAAATCAAGACCCCATTAATGAAATTATTTCCAATCTTTCACTGAAAAGTTTTATCTTAATCGCTTGCTCATTTGTTGCGTTTCTCTATACCAATTAATCCTATCTCCCGGAAAAAATATTCATTCAATCGATATCTATGGGCCGTATGTGTGGAGATAGTTTAGATTTCGTGAACCGCTTTGAGCATTATCCAAAGTAGCATTACGTTCTTTGGTGAAAAAAATAAATCATCTTTCGGAAAAAGGGATTCGAAGGTATAAATCGAAGTAGTACATACTTGATCGATTCTCTCCAATTATCAGTTTAATAGTAACAGTAAGGACATGAAACAATGAAAATTACCCCCAATCCGACGCTGCATCCTTCACATAGAAACCGAAAAAGCAGGTCATTTTCCATTAAAATATTTCGCAAATTCTCTATAGTTAAGGAACAAAGAAGTGGCTTAATTTACACAAATCAACATTACATTTTACGAAAAAAGGTTTCCCTGAAAAAGGTTTTTATGCAATCAAGGAATATGAACTATATGTGTTGAGATGATTCAGATCTTATCAGCCGTTTCACAAATGAATAAAAGCGGAAGAAGACTTTTTCCAAAAGTAAAGATAAATCAGCTAAAGCGATTTGCGTTTTATTAATTGTGAGCCGAATTTACCGCTAAAAGTAAAAGAAGATTATGAAGTAACAACAAATAAACAAAAGTGAGTATAATAACAAGTTGAGAATTTTAGAAATTTTCAACGTTACTGACCCAATTGCGAAGGGGATCAATTTCTCAAGAGTAATATACCGCTCTGTGGAAAACAAAAGTATTAATTCGACGAACTTCATTTAATTTGTAAATCTTCTCAATGTCACTTCTAAACCAGAAGCAATGAGCTTAACCCAACTCAACTCAAAGAAGCCCAGACAAACAAATGAACGGACGCGAAAACGAAACTTGATATATATAAACGTATTCACGTAGATGACTAACTAGTCGAAACGCCACCGCTTGGCAACTTTTTATCTATTTTTTTTTATTTTTTCACTGACTTCCAGAGAATGTAATAATGAAAGTAAATCTATGTTTAGCAATTTCATATCGAATCACAACGCTGCTAATTAATCTCTATCAGCATTAATTTTGTGCGACTTTTTTAAGCCAGTAGTTGAAATCAAGTTTATTAATCAAAACATGGTGCTAATCTCGTTTGTGTAACTCTCTCGATTCGCGCCAATCGAGATTCGAAATTATTTTCCAGCTATTATGGCTATCAATTCGATGAACGCAGTGGTTTTTCGAAAGCCGATGCTGAGACAGGCTTCAAGTGTCTATGAAACCTACGCTTATCTGAGGTGATGTGGCAATATAGACATTGTTGTCGGTAAGTGAAGCCCGGGTCCATCAAGGGCCACCAAAGAAACATTTGCAGAGTAATTGAAGTGTTTAGGGCCAGGGTCTTTCTGTTGTGGACGCAAAAGGGAACTCACTTACCAGCCGTTTCATACCATTAATTTTGTTAGAAAGACTATTACTATTACATGATTTCGGCATAAAGTTTGCTGAGACCTCGTATTAGGTCAATAGTGCACTATAGTTTTTGCTGTTCGATTCACCGCTGTTCGTTCTACAACAGTGGCCCAGGATGGCAGACCTTCTTGGCTCAATCATGTCTTCGATGGAGAAAGCGCAACCTAAACAATCGCCGGCCGATGAGAAACAGCGCGACCTCATCAAACGTAAGCCTTCAATAATGCCCGTGACGTTCTTCAACTCAATTCATGAAGCAAAGATGACACACGCCGGTAGTGAAATTATACTCTAAGGGCAATTTGAACGGCCAGTCTTCTAGTGATGATTGTGATTATCGATAATCAATTATTTGTATCCCTGTTGCTATTCGTTTATTATACGACTGGTCGTGCTAATTTTCTTGGAAAATTGCTGATTCACTTTTTTACTAGAAAAAAAACCTTATTGCTAATTTGCATGATTTTTTAAGAATAGTATAGAAATCTTTTCGTTTGATTCATGTTTTGCATATAGTTACTTTGGCGAAATACTATCGATATACATTTTTTTCTCAACAAGTTACGAAGCATAGGAAACATAGTTACGAAATGAGGAAAGCTCAGTAGACATACATGCATATACGTTCTAGTGTGAAGGCTATGTACCGCCAATTTTTGAACATAACTCACCAAAAAACGTCCCCAAGCAAGTAGATATCTGCGATACCAGAATTTATACACGGCGTTTCTAACCAAACGTACTTTTCGCTCAACACGTTGAATACAAACTACAAGAGCAGTTATTGACAAACGTTGAGTGTTTTGCTTATTGCCAAAAAAGTGTAGCGACCCCAGCGACCAAAAAAGAAATATCAGTTATTAATATCATTGTGGGACTGATGCGAATAAATATGCGTAAATCTTGTGTGATTCTAATTGATTTACGTTTTAGATAAAGTATTAGCGAAATTCTAATTACCATAATAAAATGCGTTGTTTTTGCTGTCTGATCAACATAAGGGGAGGTTAGCCGTCCTCGTAGTTCGGTACACGTTTATAGCATCGTCTAACCTTTTCGGAACTTCTAAAAGGTGTTGCCCAAAATAGAACCCATATGGGCACTCTCTGAAATAACCCATTGATCATACAACTGCATCGTAACTATCTTCTTAACTGATCATTAGAACCTTGCGTTTATTTCCATACGGCCTTTCATTGATCTTTTTCAATATGCATCTTAATGAAAATTTAGTACTTAAAAATAAACAATATCGATTTCATTACGCAATTCATCCGTTAAGACCTATATTAGTGAGATACAAAGTTGGAAAGCCACGAGGTGCATATCCGCTAGCTACTCTAAATTACGATAGAGGTGTGTTTAAGGTTGACTCTTGCTTGCCACTTTAGCTGATGACACGATCGATTGCAGAACAACGCGAGGCGGCCAAGAAAGCTGAGGAAGATCATAAGCTGAAACTGAAAAGGTTTAAAGAGAAAACATCAGGAGTACTCGATGAATTTTTAAAAGATATCAAAAACCCGAACTTCAAATTCAAGCCTGTCCCCAAAGTCTACCGTGCCATCATGTGAGTATCTTTCTGTGACGTCGAATTTCTAGTTAGAGCTGCGATAAGGATAATGGCCGAATCATGATTACTATTATGAATCGATAGTATTTAATGCTTCCTCTTTCAGCCATGATGCTGCCGAGGCGAAAGGTATACCTGCGTATTCCTTTGGCGAAGAGGACATCGACCGACACGTAGTGGTCTTCAAGCCTGAACATGCCCCGTGTGAAGAGCAACTTGCGTGCCTAAGGTTAGTGAACATTTCTGGCAATTTCTATAACAGCATGCACGCATACTGTCTTTCGTGATAGCTGGACGTAGATAGACGATTCAAAATAACTTCTGCAAGAAGATACTGTATGAAATCAATCTCGAGGGCATTTTTATGTTAGGCGAAGCTTAGCGTTGCAGTAGCACATGATGTTATACCCACTCTTTATGTATCCCATTGATCGTCCTTCACGAATTCGCAATGGACAAGGAATTCTTTAAACTGGCCGCCGGAAGCTAACCAAAAGAGATTGCTTTTGCCTTCATGTTTTTTAAATTTACATAGGTGGCATACTAATTGAAAATTTTGTCAATGTACATTAAGAATATCTGAAGCCCAATTTTATGAAAAATTCATTTGGCTATTTTCTGTAATAGCGTGCTTATACTGTTCTTTTCTAGAATATAACAGCATATTATTGCCCTTTCAGTATACTCATTCAGCAGGAAAGTTTTGAACAGACACTTCCCACAACAGTTGTCCAAATAATAAAAAAAAGGTCATCTGCAGGATGGTACTTAATCAGTACTACCCACTTTGACTTGTGTCTGTATGCCTTCTTAGGCGCGGCGAGGTTTGGGATCCATTAAAGGCTGAGCAGGAACGAGCCTTGCGGGAACAGATTGAGAAAGATCGCGAACACGAGGATTGGCTTCGACAGGTAAACCACTTTTCTTTGAACGCCTACCAAAGGGTTCCATTCGTCAGTTTCTTACGTATAAGAAATATAGATGTAGAATAGAAGACCTCGTAATAACGCGAAAATTGTTTTGCTGGTTTTGGTTATACTCATTTGAGAGAATATAATAGTTGCCTAACTACAGTATCTATACTCAACTCAGCAATATAATACAAAAACTTTCTTACGTAAATATATTTTTGGCCAATCTAGGCTGCGAATACATAGATGAAATACGTAAAATAAAGCTTTTACTATATATTTTCTTAATATTCGCTGCCTTTACTATTACTCTTATTCTGTGCCCAATAATATTTCATTAGATGCGAGAGCGGAAGCGAAAGTCAAATGAGACGCAAGGCCAAGCAGCTGACAAATACAAAACGAAATACGAAAAGTTTGTCGGTAGGGATGCTGGCCTCGAAGCAGCTAGAATAGCACAGCCTAACAAACAGTTTGGATTCGGTAAGGATATGAGGAAAAGAGTGATCCTTTATGAGGGCTATTTTATTAGTTTGTCCATATATAATCTATGTAAAAATATACGTGACATGTAAAAATTCGCCGTTGATCCACGTTGTTTATTGCTTGTTCATCTATTCTATTCGATTTACAGTGCCTTCGGAAAATAAGCGTGACGCACGCACAATCGAGCAGGTTCTTGCAGATAGTCGAGCAAAACGAAAACGTTTGGAAGAGAGGACATCAGCTTCAGAAACGTTTGGTCACAACAACGAAAAGTCAAACACTGTTTAGGGTACTCTGGGCAATATGCATATTGCATCGCGATCTCTATTACCAGCAGCTGTTTTTCGTGTCCATCACGAACAATGATGTTACAAAAGCTCACAGGTTTTCCAGTGGTTTCTACTCAGTGTTTGACAAACGAACCTGAACGAGGGTTGATTAATATAAGGAAGTGTTATCCCACCATACTTGCAGAAAACTCCGGTACGCGCAGGTGGTACCGGAACGTTAGAGATAGTAATAATCATTGTTTGAGACATTAAGAAAGTTCAAGATCAGTAGTCTAGTCTGCTGACGGACAGCGCATCTAACAGCTAGTAACTGAGACAGTCTTATGTCTTTATCGCCTAAAGGAGATGCTCAGATTAGCTTAACAATACAGGAACGATACATACAAAATGTTCTACAGGTGCTTCATAGTAAATGAATAGGTTTTGCATTCGCACAAAATGACTCCATTGTAATCCTTCCGAGCTATATATCCTATATTGGGCTATTATGTGTCGAGTTGTCCTTCAACGTGTTCGATCGTACCGATCTGTTGGCAAGCACAGAGGCTGACTGTTGAAGAAATCATCTATTTCAGAAACGGGAAACTTTTAAAAAAACAGGAACAACTTTTGTTTACGTAGAGTAAAGACAAAAATATGAAGTAGGCAAAATACGAACATACATAGACCTTTAATATGAGCCAGGTAACTTGTAATACGGGATCGTTACCTCTGCAGGGTTTGAAAAAACTCGTAGCTGCGGAGTTATTTTAATATCAAAATATGCGGCTATAAATCTAAGCCTTTCATCCCAGGAAAACGGAGAGAAGTCAAGACAACGGTGACTGCCCTGTATAAAATGGTGCAAGGAAAAGGCCCGAACTACCAAGATGTTCGCGATATTTATTAAGGAAGTTTGTTTAATTTGTTAGATATGTAGATTTAAAAGCTTTGCAAGCTTGACAGTTGCCATATGATTTGGCTAGTGATTTTGGAGTAGACTCTGTGGGTCATACCGACCACATTGCTAAGGCGAATTGTGAGCTATAGGCACTCATCGGGCATTAACTGGATTAATTTCTAATATCCTCTTTTTTCTTGTTTTAAATTGTTTCTCTGTATAATTATCTTGTATAATTGGTGTAAATTAATTCCTTAGACCCTATTTTGTTCTTAGGCGAGAAAAACGAAACTGTTTTGAGTAATAAATGTCAAAATTTCCGTTTCGGATTGATATTTATGAAAGAGGCAAAGTCAAGTAAATATTGCGCTGTGATCTGCTGATATCTGAGACGATAAAAATTGTCCGTCTAGTGGACTTTTTGTGAAATATAATTTCATTGATAGCTATTTGTAACTTCTACTTCGTGGGATACGCAGATACATAGCTTTATGTATAGAGCTTTAGATAATTAGTTACAAGCTACTGCCTCATGACTGAGCTCGTTAGGATGTGCAAGCGGCTTAAGTCGTTCGTTGAACAACGTTGTTAACGACGATTTTTTACGTGACGAAAATATTCCTTGCGATGCGGTTAAATCAGTCTTATAACATATGGAAAAAAAATGCAAGTACATTAACACCAATTACTGCCATTGACGACGGTAGAAAATGAACAACGAGTATTTAGAAATTGTTTTGCTAAATGTAATTGACAACAACAATACAAAGAACACATAATGACTTGTAACTACTATACTCAGTTTAAGAGTGGACGAAACAGTATCGCTGTACTTTCGTAACCCTCAAGCTCATGAAGTGCAGCACTATTCTTGTACTGCTTTAAAATTATTAATTACATAAGTTACAAACAACCGAGAGGCTCTGTTATTAGCGTTAAAATTCTGATTGGAACGTACATGCTTTCCCGTACACAATGGACAGTTCGAGAAGTTTGGAGAGAAATTACATTTCAGTAACACCGAATCTTCAAAAGTCTTGCAAGCCTCATCAAATTTCTTTGAGTTTACCAGAATCGAAACTGTTTAATGCGGATTAGAAAACTAGGAATAGAGTTCTCTATGTCAGTGCACAAGGCAATAACGAGCCTTCTTTGCTATTGATTTGTAAAAAAAAATTGCTCGCTGCTTTCCGAAGTGTACGCATAGGTAGAACGATAATATATTATACAATAAAAGAAAATGAAGTAAATGTTACTACGAACACAGTTTTGTTATTACAGACGAAATGAATATGATGAAGTGCTTAAGAAACTTGCCATATGCACGACAATCTATTACACACTTTATTTCATACTCATTAGTGTAAGTAATAAGCAAGAATGAATTATCTTTTATATTGATGGCTTGATAGACCAGCATTACGAGTTTGGACGAATATCGGATCACTGAGCTGAAAGCAATGACAATGGAAGAAAAAATTACGAAAACGAAATTTGGATAACTTCATAGATAGCATGGTTGACTTTTAGTTAGTCATATGAAACCGATAGAAAGTCGAATTTGACCATGCTCCATATAAATAATTGCAATGACAAAGACCCTGTCCGATAAATAGCAAACGTCAATTTTTTTGCTTATGTGTAATATTTTTGCGAACATTCGGGAATGACCAAGACAAGGATTTGCTTCTGCCCAGACTATGACCCACTAATTTGAATTCCTCTCCTATGCTTCACTTCGAACTACCCTGGACCTTCAATAAACAAGCCTACGAGCCAGTAAGGGAAGCCATCTCTTCTCGGCAATTAAGTACTGTTTGAAAGCTGTAACCATAGGCCATGGTAATTTCTTGCCAACGTTAAAACTTATATCAGCCATGGCCGCATGTTCATGGCGACCATGACAATGCATCTAATGAGATACGCATTAAGCCTGAATGTTATACCAAAAAGGTGTCTTTTGGAACTTCTTCACAGAGTAAAAAAATTCTAAACCAGTAAAGAAACACCGCTGGACTGTAACAGTGGTACGGAATAGACCCTTGCCTCCTTAGCAATTTAAATATTCGCGCGTTTTATTCGTGTCCTTTTCTCGAAATTATCGGCCGCTTTTTAAAAAATTAGCTCAGCAGCCGTGGGTATAGACTGTGGAGAGAGTGTTGTATATGTAGGCTGCTGCTGATTAAATGCGACGATTGGCGAATTTGATGCCATTCGACAGTAACTGTTCATGTTTTTGTGCGTCGTCTGCCCATTTTGCTCGCCCCGGCTCAGCATTTAGACAGCCGTCGCAGGACAAGCTGTAGTGATTTGTTCCTTCTTGGAAAATTTGAGGTGTTTAACGGGGAGTTGGAAACGGGCAAGCCCTATTTTATGCACGCTGAATGTGCCCCGGCAGCTGGATTTGTTTCCGCCGAGACTACTAGTCACAAATTCAGCTCTTCCGTTATCTTTCAATACGAGTCGGTCGGTATCTCCACTTAATATTAAGACGAACTGGTAGGGAAGCGTAATCAGTAATCGAGTTGCCGGTCCGTCGCCTCCTTTCCATTTAATAAAGCATAACCGTAAAGCACTGAGACAACACGGTAGCTTTATACTTGTGCAACGCATGTACTACTGTTGTTGCTATTTTTGCCGCCACCAGCGATTTGTCTCAGCGTTTAGCTGCTTGCTGACTGCTATATTTGCGCAGCGTTGTAATTGTAGGCGGCCGCTGCCGTTATCGCTGCTTCTCTTGCCTTCTGTGTCGCGTGTACCTTTTCTCTGTCTGCTTTTTCCCTGTCTCTCACTATCTCCCTCTGTGCCTGTGTGTGTGTGTCGACGATTGAGGTTCACGACGACGCTGCTGCCGCTCCTGCTGCCGTTACCGACTACTCCAGCACTGGCGTTTCGTTTACCACTCATTTCGTATCTGGACTTGTCTGCTCTGCTCTCTGTGTTGAATGTGTGCGTTTGAATGGTTATGTGAGCCTGTGTGTACATGTATGTCGGCCTGTCTGTCTGTCTGTCTGAGCGTGTGTTCGTGTGTGAGTGTGTGTGTGTGTATGGTTTAGAGCAGAAACTACAACCACTCCTGCTGCTGTCGCCGCTAAAACCAATACTGCTTCCACTTCTGCTGCTACGAGGAGGAACAGCCGACAGCGTCGATAACATACGGGCTGCTGCTGCTGCTACTGCACTGCTGCCCATAGATAGCAGAGACACAGACGACTGCTGAACTCTCTGCTGTGTGCTGCTGCGAATCGTGGCTGCTGCTGCTGCTGCTGCTGCTGCTGCTGCCTGTTGTTACTCCAGTAATCATCGCTACTGCAGCTAATTTGCTTGCTTTGTTGGCTGGCAACGGCTGGTCCCTTGCCTTGCCTTGTCTTGTCGTCGTGTATAGAGTCGTGTTGACGAAATCGCTGCGCCGCGATCGAGCTACGGGGCCAGCAAACCAGCGACTTCTGAGACGACTGTCTCGCCTTGTTTTTGTCCCCTGAGTGTGCTATAGCTGCTATAAGTGCAGCGGTTCTGTGTCTGCAGGCTCACCTAGCATTTTATTGAGAACCCTATATGCTCATGCATAGACACAAGCACACAGTCACAGTGTAATAGTAGATAGTCGCAATCGACATTGTTGCGACGACCCGAGAAAACCCCCTCCCGATCCCTGAAAAAGAAGAAAAACCAAACGAGTTGTTAGTAGCAGCAGCCTACTTGATTCGTGTCTACGACGTGTCTGGAGAACCAGCCAGTAATATTAGTTGAGGCCAGCGGACGCGTGACTGACGAGTTTGTACTGGGACTGCGGGGCAACAAAGTTTGTTCTCCGACCGACCGACAAACACATCTCGTTCAGTCCTTTCTCAGTTGCTTTCGCTCTCTCGCGTGTGGGTCTCGAGCGAACGGACTGCAGCAGCAGCAGCGTTCGTCGTCGGTGAACACACATCCTTAGGTGCTGCTGGTGCTGCTGCAACAGGAACATCACAGCAGAACGAAACGAGTGCGGTCGACGCGCCGAGAAGCAGTGTTAGTGCCGTCGCGCGTCGTACTGTGATTCAAGCCGGCCGTTGTTGATATTGGTTACTTGGTCGATTACAACCGCCCCTACGGTGACAACGACAACAACGACAGCTGCAGCATTAAACAGCGTACGGAGGAGACCGTAAAAGAAGCAAACAGTTTTTTCCAACGAGAGAATCGAGGTAGCCAGCCGCATCGTCGTGTCCCGCATCGGCCACACAGTGGTGGGGTGTGGTGTGGTGGTGGCTTGCGTGTGTTTTGTGCCCCCCAGAGTGCGCTAACAGCGAGTCTCCTACGAGAGCAGCGAGTTCGTCTCACCCCTAGCGGAACAAAGCACCTCTCACAGTAGAGGTTCCTCCCCACCCCCTCGACAGATAACAAATAGGCTAGTCTAAGCGAGTTTATATAGTATCACAGTGAAGTCACGTCGCCACCGCTGATTAGAGATACAGAACGCCACTGCCGCGCATACGAAGCATAGTACCCCCAGATCGCACGGATCGGATGGTCTCTGCAGGCACCGTTTCTCAAAAAACTACCTAACACACAACGACACAAAATGGAATCGAGTCAAAGTGCACTGCTCCTACGGAAACAGCTTAACGGTAAGTTTTTCATCGTTTTTCGAAGTTCCTGTGCGCTTTCATTTCGTCATGATGGTAGTGAGTGCTGCTTTCGACGCTGACGACGGAGAAGTGAGTTTAATAAGTTAATCTAAGGATGCCAGTGTTAATAAGAACAGAATGAATAGTTATAATGCGCACCATTTACTTGTGTTGAATAACGCGGAAAAGATACCTGCCGTAACCGAAGGCAAATGTCGGAGTCGGAGCTAGGTGAAAAACGTGCTGGTGGAATGAAGTTTCAAAACCAGGCTTATCGTTTGTCGTAAATATTGCGTATATTCATATGTCACTGTTGTACGGTATGATTAGCTCTCACTGTGTGAGTATGCATATAATGCGCACACTCTTCTCTCCCTTGTAGAAGGTCCGTGACCGTGACAAATACCGAACGAGGGATTAACTCATGAAAAGCTTTTTCTGGACGATAACTAATAGAGAAATTCTATCAAATATCACTTTCAGCTTCGATTATATTAAATTTTCGGTGTCATAGATCAGCAATCAATAGCTTATGAGTTGAAAAAAATCAATCTAGAATTGAAATTTGGCTAACTATACTGAACAGAACTGTAATAGGGATTGAGTTTACAAAAAGAGATCTATTTATGAATGATTTGATCCTGCTAATTACAGAAACGGTCTGTCAAACTGCTTTCCTGAATTTCGACGAGCTGGCTTTTTAGTCTTGTAAAATGGTTTGGTGGACTGACGGGCTTCAAGTGAGAAACATTAGAATTATTAAAATTCTCAGACCGAAAACCACATAAACATCTATTTGAAATCGAATATCAACCTGGGATATCGATTAAGCCCTTTGCTCTTTTTTTATTGGTATTCAGATATTACCACTAAAAATCAGCTAGTTATTTGTTGATGAAAACACGCGGCTGTTAGCGCATTGCACGCTTTCCTGCTTTTCATCCTGGTACCATCGCGTTCGTCTCTAGCGTTCGAGTTCGAACTACGACGAAGTGGTTCTGTTGTTGTTGTTGCAGTTGTTGCTGAGCTGGTAGTCTCCTATCGGCAAATGGGCATTTGTGTCGCAATATTTTTGACAGAGTAGGTCTAAGGTTGAAAAAAACCTTTCATAGAAGGGAGTGGTCAATTTCCACAAGTCTTTTCAAGTGAACTATTTGGCTCTAATTTCCAAAGATTCGACGTGTCGTTTTTACATCTTACAGTATCTGTGCGAACGGTTATTGAGGCAATATCGTTTACTCTTCGTATAAACGCGATGTTAAGACAGAGAGGCGATTGAAGAGTGCCCCATCCTTGATCTCCGAAACATCGCCGGTGATCTATGAAACAGCAGCGCCACAACATTCTCGGTGAAATTCCTATGTAATAATGCAATCGTTTCTTAGGGCAGAACTCCTAGTATCGCTGTAACTAGGCCGATTTGTATGATAAACTCGTATTTCCCGTTAAGCAAAATAAGAGATCGATAGTTTCTACCACATTTAAACATTTCTTTTAGTTGGCACGATAGAGGTTGTTTGTGCTAATTTGCGAACTTAAGACGCTGGTAGCCTAAAACCTCTAATATCTTTGATAACGGTATTTGCATAACAGTATTATGACAAATTTAGCTATACGAAGCCCGCTGGTCCACGTGTTTGCAAACAAATGACACATGGAGCCAATACGTCGAACATTGTGAGTGGTAGGATAGCTACGAATCGCAATTATACTTCTTGCTTTTGCTCTTTTCTTTCGCAAATGAATAGTTTTGTGAGATTTTCAATATATTTTGTCAGTGTGGGGCTTTTGGATTAAGTTTCTTAGATAAAAAGAAAATCTAACGTCGGCTTCTATCCAAAACTTATCAATTGTTTTTTGCGTATCTTGCCATATACTGCTTACGCCTTTTCTCATGAGGCTTACGAACACTTTTTATTAGTCTAAGTTAGAGAATGTTTCTGCATCATAAAAAAATCTCTGGAACTCATTTAACAATTAAAAGTATTAAGTTGTACGGAGTTGTTTATCACCCATCGCCGTTTTAAGGTATGGAAGTATTTGCATCATATAAATGAAATACGGAGAATATGGGACTAAAATCAGCTTTCAGTGTATTTTGTCTCAATCCAGATCGTAACTGCAGAGTAGTGGAGACGTTGTCTGTAGTCTACGAGTAATCAAACGACTCGTGTACTATCGATTACCGCGCCAGCATTCTGTGAAGTTTTTTAGAGATTCGAGTTTTAGCAACATCGGCCGTCTCTAGCATTTGGTATTTCGAGGAATATTTCGTATTGCAATATGAGCATCATCCTATGCCCGATTACACTAGCAACTGCCACTGAAGTCGTGTTTGTCAACGCTATTCTTTCTTATAGTACTTTTCTGATGAGCAGCACAGGTTCACTCATGCCTCGTCGATAACAGTGCGCTTCAAACCGATTCTTCGCCCATTATACTCTGGTAAATCGTCTTTAGGGTAGCATCTGTCCTGAACTCACGTCATGATAAACCCATTTTTTGCTTTTTCTCCTCATCTTTAGTGCTTTTGTTACAATTTCATAACCGAAAAATTTTATATTGAACCGACAGAATGCATATTTTTTATTACTTATTTTGCTCGAAAATTTCTATCACTTGGCACTATCATAATCATTAGTTTACGTGGCTGGTTCTCAGTAGTATTTGTATCCGCCTTCGACCCTAGACTACCTCAACATTCGTAAATACGTTGTTACCATTACACAATTATAGGAGCTGTAATGAACCACTGGTTTGCTGAAGGTTTCCGTGCCAAGTATTTCCACGAGTTGTGCAAACTGTGCAATGCGGGTTTTCGGTGGAAAGCGTTGTCAACCTCGGGAAATAGGAACCTAATCTCTGAGCTCTGGTTTTTAGTACTGAATCACTTCATTGCCTCTAAGCGCATCATTTGCTTGCAACACCCAATAGCTTATAGTCGTAGATCGCTAAAGACTTAGTGCAAATAAATTTCGTTTGCGTGATGGTAAGTAGTTTTTAAGTCAACCCACCAAATAGCTCCGAACAGCCTGATGCTGCACAAAACGTGATGATAATCGTTCAGTGGTAATAAAAAAATATTTGTACATTTTATTTGTAGTGCTTAAACCTTTCACTGTAATCACGAAACCAATCGCTGAAAGTAATAGGAAAAAAATCTGTAGACGTCGTATTGCAGTGCTCGCCCATTATATTTTTTGTTCTTAAGGTGTTTTACTGTATGACTGTATAGCCGAAAGTTTCCCCCATAGCATCTCGTTGTTGTTATTGGTTACAGAGTTGAAGAAGAATCCAGTGGAGGGTTTTTCAGCAGGTCTTATTGATGATGTTGATATCTACAAATGGGAAGTGTTGATCATTGGACCTCCAGACACACCCTATGAAGGCGGATTCTTCAAGGCCCACCTGCTCTTTCCTAAGGAGTATCCCTTGCGCCCGCCAAAAATGAAGTTCATTACCGAAATCTGGTAAGCAAGGGTTGCGATTCTAGCACTCACGGCTGGGCAAATAGCAGTAATTGTGCCTTATATTATTATGCATATTTTATTTACAGTGAATTTTGTCAACATTGCCTCATTCTCGGTCGAATTATTCAATCTGTAGTGAATGATCTGATATGGAAAGTAACGTTAGTGAGGTGTTTAAATGCTCGTAATCATGTGTCAAGCAAAGGTAAAATCAAAAAGCGTTATGATTAATGTACAAGAAGAAACTCTGCTAAAAATATTTTTTTTTGCTGAAATTGTATTTCTTATATTATCTTTCTTCTAACAGGCATCCAAATATTGACAAGAATGGCGATGTTTGCATCTCAATTCTCCACGAACCCGGAGATGATAAATACGGCTATGAACAGGCCAGCGAGCGCTGGTTACCCGTCCACACCGTCGAAACCATACTTATTTCGGTGAGATTTTACAAATTTTTCAAGTTTCTTGGCTTTGCTAGCCTTTGTGCTTCTAACTTCTTTCCGGATTCTGTAGTCTTTTTTGTTTTAGTGGATAGGAAAGCAAGTACAGTTTGTCTAGGTTGTCTGTATCGTACGAAACTCCAAGGAAAAATGACTATGTCTAAAAAAAAAATCCCTTGGTGACATTAGGTGACATTATTTGAAAGGTATGTAGCAACTATTGACAAAGGGCGTCTGCAGGATTTCTCGCAAAACATTGCATTATGAAAACATACTAAAATCAAAATATGTATTTCACGTAGTTTTCCTGGTGCCTATTTTTCGCTCCCTACGTGGGCATATATGTTGTGGGGCTTCATTTATCAACGAACAAATTAGAGGAACGACCTCTGCGGTATGAGCTTTATGATTTCAAATTGCAATACAAAATCGTTACCGAATACAGTCATGCTTATGATTTATTGACTCCAGTGAAATTCCTACAAAAAATTTGTAGGATTGTTTCGAACGTCGCTTAAATCACTTAATAATGGTTTGTCATGTGATCACTGTATTTGGCGTTCAGGTAATCAGTATGTTGGCCGATCCTAACGACGAGTCGCCAGCCAACGTCGATGCTGCCAAGGACTGGAGAGAGAATTATGCTGATTTCAAGAAGAAGGTCGCACGCTGTGTACGACGAAGCCAAGAGGAATGCTAGTAGAAAAGTCATCGTTTAGTGGGGAGAAACCCAGGCTGCAGGCGTACTTTACAGAACGAATGCAGTTTGGGTACAGCTTCTTGCCTTCCCCACATTTTCTTTCACATACAACAACAGCAACACTACAACAAATAATGGTAACAACAACCAGCTTTGAGAAAATATCGTCGAAGAAATCCTAATAGCAATAGTCTTCTAATTCCCTTTATCAATAGGCAATGAGTGCGTTCGAGTAGTATACACGTTTCTTTTATCCCTTCACTTCCGATGCTTTTCCCTATCAAATACCATCCCAAAAAAAAGATGCTTATTAGGCCAACGAACTCATTTGGAAAACAAAGCCTCCAACATGAACAGCCATCTGTTTATATCCATGCATGCCAATGTCGGCCTTAGTAGCAGATCATAATGATGAAGTGCATTTTCCCTGGATATATTCCCTTGGTATTTATACTAATAGTGCTGAAATTTTATAGCCCGTACTGACAATGGAAGTGCGTCGTGATGATGCCGATGAAAAATACTAAGAATCGCAAAAACATAGCTTTCTGATGGCTACCGAATGATACTTGCGAGCTATGGGAGAAAGGACAGCTGATTAATTCTAGTAGGGAATAATGCATGACTGAATTATATATATCGGATGGTAGAGAAATAATGGTGGAAAAAACAGCAAACAACGCTGCAAAACATGTTCAAGATTCGTGACGTAGTGGAAGCGCGTGAAAACAACGCACATGTGGTTTTTTAGATATTGACATGGAGAGATAATCAATATGATAAAATGCAGCATGTAACATGCCATTCCATGGTATGATAAAAAAACAATGAGCGATTGCTACAGTGATTCTTCACGATTTAAATGGACTTAATTATTGTTTTTGTAGGACGGTATATAGATAGTCTGGTCTTACCAAAAAAAATTATTCCGTTTAAACAGCATGATTGGATACAGGGGAGACTCGTGCGGAAAAGTGTCGAAATTGGGAAGACTTAAAGGACAAGTGAACGCTGGATGACTGACCGGTAGATAAAAAGCGTAAATTATTGTTCTTTTAGCAAACACTATATAGGATACTTCAAAACTCGGAAGTCAATCTTTGAAAAAATGGCAAAACGTAGTAGACAAAGAATTTTTCCCAATGGGATCAATAGGCGCAAATATTCATTTCACCGTTACAGGTTGAAATTTGTGCAAAAGTGGCACCTCCACCAAATGTCAATTTTAAATACATGTAATTGCGTGACAGTCACTACTTCGACTGAGAAACCGGAAATTTGCATATACAGAGGTAATCTTGCGCTTAAGTTATCTGGGTTAAAGCAAACGGCAGCAATGGATCCAAGAATGCAAACATTGTATTGGTCACGTGTGCTTATTTAGTATTGTAATGGGATTACTATAAGTATTTTCCATTACGGTCGGTAATTAAAAACATGTGCACAAAGGTAAAACTTCGTTCAACTCGTTCACTTACGTCAAACGCCCACTAAAGCTAGCAAAGAACTACCAACAGATGTTTGGAATGGCGACCATTAGCCATAACACAGGGTCGATACCGATAAAGGAAATGGAGAATATTAAAAATGTGTTCTATCACCTCTTGCGAAGGATGATTTTTACACAGTTCAGTGACTTTACTGTGTTCATATCGTGGAAAAGCATATATGAACCTACTACATGGTGCAATGGATTGTAATGCGCTTGCCGCATGACGAGCTTCTAGTAAAAAGGTTTTCTTAATTCGACGAGTGTCGGATAGTTGTGTCGTGTGTTCCATCGCATATATACACGATTTTATGAAACGTTGTCATTTTGCAACAGTAAACTGGGCTCTGGTCGGCCCAAAATAACAAGAATTCCACTCTTAGGTTATAAGGTCATATAAAAAGTGATGGACGACTTTGTACTAGCGACAATTATCGGCAAAATATTATTTATATTCACAGGATGTCTACCCAAGAAGACTGTACCTATATAATCACCCGCGAGTTCCATCTATAAAGATGAACTGATTAGCCGCGGTGCGCGGGGTTCTATCGCTGAATCTCGGAAAAGAGAGCAGTCCGCACGGACCTACACATGTGAAGCATTGGTGGACCTACTAGTCCGCATAATACACGGCCGAGGCACATGAAGACTGCATTTCGATAAACTTTCGGAGAGACATAGTTTACAGCTTTCAATTCTATTCACTATCCCTTTGTAATAAGGATAATTAGCACCTTTTTTGGAATATTTTGCTAATTGTCACCTCCCAATATACTTTGAACAAAATGTGCTTCGAATGTAACATCATGGGGTGCCAGCGCATTTCGACGGTGCACCGTGAATTTTTTTGACTCGACGTTTAAAGGTTAGTGGATTGAGCCAAGGATCCGCTGTATGACCGCCGCAATTCCCGACTCAACAGGTCTTTATTTCTGTGAAGACACGTAAAATTTTCATACTTATTCGCAAAAGCGTTGATTGAGGGCATATTTGTTACGTCTATAAAACGTCGGAAAAAATACATCAGTCTACTTCTCGTCGGTATCGGTTTTATTTTGAAGTCAAAATGGCGTCATTGAACGCTTTTTATAGCACATTAGCTTTTCACCTAAAGAATCATTTACCCTTCGAATTCCAGCATATATCAACTTGTACAAAAGAAGGTATGTCATTATACCCTAAAATAGGGATTTTAACGTTCTGTTAGTTTAAGCGGGGTTTAATTGGTGTACGATAAAAGGTAAAATGTTATATTCGCCTTGTTATATAAGATACCGGACCATAAGACAGGCTAAGCAAAGTAATAAATATAGTCTTTGTATTCTTGGGTCCACTACTATTAAACGTCCTTCTACGTAGACATATTTTGCTTTTAATCGAAGGAGTAGTCACAATACTATTTACTCCTTATCTGTAATTGATGTCTCTCGAAGTCTAGAAGGTATTGCTTTTGCACAAAGTTCCGCGTTTAGCAATATTATAAATATTAACGCCTGATGATCCCACCGGGACAAACACTGTAGCACTTTTTTAAATATTGAGTTCGAATTTGGGACACCTCGTAAAATGCAAGATACATTTTTATTAACCTAATCATTTTTCTAGCATGATTATTATTATTGAGAGAATGAAAGGTAGAATGTAGTATACGTATTAATAAGTATGAAAGTATGGTACGAAGTTATTATCATTACACAGGTTCATTATAACACGACAGAACTCGCCAGTCACTATGATCGCGTGCACAGGTGTCGATACTACCTGGGCACATACATGATTATGGATATCTAATAAGAAATAATAAATGTATCCCTATATAGATACAGCATCTTTATAGTAGACAGTACAGGTAATCTATACAGTACATTCAGCTACAATAAATTGCTGGGCTAGGGGAAGAAAAACAGAAAATAATGCAGGCGCCATGGTTAGCGTTAGAATTGAGTAACATGCCACAACTTCGATTGTCATATACATCCTTTACGTGTATGCCATATATTTCGCAAGTTGTGAGTCATGGAAGATTGTATCTAGGAAAAAAAACAAGCGGAAAGGTCCAGTGAAGCAAAATAAAAAGATGTTAAACCGTCTCGGCAAGGCGAAGGACCATGAAAAGTTCCGGGAAAAAATTGCCACAAGAATCAGTAATGCATGTAAAGTGCTGCATGTAAAGCCCGTCGTGTCTAAAAAATATGGGATTCCAATAGGTTAACGATTCTGTCTCAAGTCTCAAACTCGATTTTGTAAATTACAACCCTTTTCGAAGTTCCCGATTTTTGAACTGCTTGGTTGTTGATTTGGATAAACATACTTCAGTGTTCGCAGTAATGATACTTAATGAAAGCCGTGCTGATCTCATACGCTCCTAATAAAGGGGCGCAAAGATGATTGCTGTATGTACATGGGTACTCGTTTACATTCGATAAGGTAGTGGTAAAGAGGTGGACAAAAACTACTGTTTTTTTCGTTTATTGGAAGATACTATCGATACACTCCGCAATTAATATAGTATCATCAAAATGTGCCGTCGAGAGTAGTTATATTTCATCGCGAGGTGAAGGGCGCATAAGGAACAACTGCTGCTGCTGCGGCAGCTGTCGAAGGACCCTGGTGCGATCAAGGCGAATTTCTAAGCCCAATCCGCATGTAACGTTTTGTCCTGATCGGAGACTTATCGGGCGATGGTTCCAGCACTTCCGTCAATAAACACGGATGCGCTCGGGGAAGTTTAACCACACAATCGTTGCTGTTTTGTGCAAGTGTTAGCCCCATTTAGCTTTCAACTACACAGCCACAATACATTATAAGCTTTCTAAAACACAGCCTCAATTTGGCTTATGGTTAACCTATAGGTTTCTAAAGCCTCATCGCATAAGTGGTTATATGTACACCTCTTGGTATTGGATGAGCTGATCTTGTTCGAGTCGCGTTATTTTTTGTTCTCTTAAAGCTTTTATCATCAGCGTAGTCCCAAAATAGAACATAAGCAGTATTCGCATATAATATCTTCGAATAGAAGAAACTGAAAACACCACATCGTGATCGGAATGAGCACTTACTCGCCTAAATCATTTACACAATCACAGGAAAGTGAGTTTTTTGCCATAGCTGTGACCAGAAGAGCTAACAATTGGTCATACCATTATATTTTTCTTGATTTTAGCTCTTCGTCTCCGGTGAGCCGAACTATCCGGGAAGGTATGATCGCACGCAGAGAAATTACATCACCTATACGTCACTTATGCGACCTTCTCCCCAAACCCTTAAGTAGAAATGACCACGGACAGGACGAACGGCCTCGGTATTGACCTAAATAAGCTCAGATTGAGCAGAAGCACCCAGAAAGATGGAAGTAATTGCGACCATGACGCTAGCACACACAAAATCGTTAGAGATATCTAGATAGTAATAACATTATTATGAAATAACATAGCATCATTTGAGTACGACGAATAACGGCGCGTAGAAGAGGACAAGCAAATTCAGAGTCTAGTGACAAATAAATCATCGAAACATGTAACACGGCAAATTTAAAAAAAATGTAGACTAAAAAAGGCAAAATAGGATCACTTCCCAAACCAGCCGAGAAGGTCTTCGAGTGGATCTGCGCTCTGCCGGTCGAAAGACAATGTTTAAATGCGGGATGAACGCAAGACGGGCATACAAGAATGAAGTGAATTGCAAGCAGGTCAACTGATTGCTTTGGAATTAATGGTGACTGTGAGAATAAGTATAGCAAGAACTAAGCGTATATGACATACCCAAATACAAGGAGAATAAGGCAGCCTTCCATTAAATAAATACCTGGATGTTTTCACGGCTGATGGAGCACGGCAGCCTGCGAAATGCCAAAACAAGAGCTGAAAACTACTGTGGTCTATAGACTGAACGGCTGACGAGTGCAAAGCGTTTCGATGTGAATGCGGCATTTGTGGCCTATTGGGAAAAACGCAAGTCGCATACTAAAAACGGCTTATTAGATATCAACTACATACACACACATGCTAAGTTGCGGAAAATGTAACGATGCACACATTTTAAATATGTGGCGCCAGTTATATATTACATATATAACAAAACATGTATGTATAAGAATAATGTAATAAAAATGGAAATAATGGCTAAGCAGCCTAAGGTTGCACTTCGCAGGCGTCATGTGCGGCTTTGAAAGATGAACCGACGAAGATCCGTGACACCTTAGATCATGTATTGATTGACAAGTCGTTTGGATAATGAGGCAAAATCTCTTTTCGTCTTTTTGTTTATCTATCTCTAACCGAGCTGCGATACATCGATGTGTGCTGTAATGTTTACCAAGAAAAATAGACGAAGGAATGGAAAATGCAAAAAATATATATATATAAATGAGACGAAAAGAAATTGAAGATGAAGGAAAATTGGCAAGAGTGACAGCTACTTCAACTACAATATTAATAGCAAGCAAAACAACAACAATATTAATAAATGATATTTTCGAGTTAATTACCTGTATCGTTGTTTTAGCGTACTTAAGGCTATTTATTGCATGCAAATTATCACCATATTTATTTTTACGCAATTCAACATCATGTACTAAGCACACCTTTTCTTTGCCGTTAATTTAACTACAATGATTCGTTTATGTTACATAACTGTAGCATACGCCATCAGTTATATTGTTGCGATTAGCCTGCTCTATTTAACCCATTATATAACTGCAATAATTTCATCAGACTGTTTAAGTATGTCCACTAGACGGCTCTAACGAAGCCTAAATTTGTCTCACCTTAATATTGTGTGCTGACTCATACAGGTCTCCTTTAGTGTTTTCTGATTGACTCTGTCTAGAATTTAGGGAACTGAAAGAAGCTATTGGCCTACCGAGCGGCCCTTGGCTGATTTTTTGTGATTGATAAAACTGGCTATCTCTGAAAGCTATCAAGTCCTGAATTTTTCTACAGTTTCTTTTACAAAAATATTTGCACAGACTATATCAAATGCTTCCGGTACGTCATCAAGCCTCAAGGGTTTTTAATCGTCTTTTACAATAAGCAGTCGTACATATTAATTTAAATAAAGATACGACAAACATGTTATGACGATTTTGTATATTTTGGTTGAAATGTGGACATTACCAAAGCTTAATGGTATCGTAATTATTCTTTTTTAGTGGTTTTTTAATAGTTAGTAGTTTAGAAAACAACATTATTTCTATATATTTCTTTTGATTCTGTTTCTAGGACGCCGCCAAAGTCTACAAATCTTTAAATCTTTTTGTTTGTTAATAAATGGAGCCAATGGAGACACAAATGAATATACATGGTGCTTTAAAAATAATTTTTTTTTGCAAAAATTAGCTATACTAGTCGCTTCAACTTCTTGACTAAAATTTATAAGGAAGTCGTTCCAAACAGAAATACTAAAAGGCAAGTCGAAATGTATTTTTACCCCATAATTACCTTTTTTTACCCCAAAAAGAATCTGTTAACGTATTGCACATGTCTTGCACTATTATTCAACTCGTCGAGATTTATCGTGGATAAATCTCGACGAGTTGAATATACATCGACGAGTGAATAATGACCTCTATAGACTTTCATATAGTTTTTTCTTTTTATCTCAGTGCCACATCTGCAAATCAAAGCTACTACTATCGGTTGTTAGCCTTTTTCATTCTGAAATATTTATCTTAGCTGTAAATTTTTTTTATATTTTCTTAAGCATTTTTACTCCACCTTCCGCGCAGACCTTCTCATAAGAGATAAAATTCTCTAAAAAAAAATCAATCCAATACAACTATTCCATAGAAGTCAGTTCATGTGATGGAAAGTATAGATGGATGGTATGTGTGTAGAAAAGCTGTGCCTCTACCATATTAATTCTAGATATTGATTGCTTTTGCTATATATGGTTCCTGGACTACAAATTTAAATAATATAGGCCTGAAATACAGCGGGCTAAACATTTTCGGTACCCTATCATTGATATAGATGTGCGTCAGTTTCTTCATTTCAAGATGGATGCCTTATTTAATGTACCCATAGGAATGCTTGTTTGAAAAGCTAACGCCTATAGGATTTAACTTATGATAACTAAGTGGGAAAAAAATTAACTGGAAATCGTTTTTGTTTTTTAGCCTTATTAAACACAAAATATTATTCTCGTAGAGGACTGTCCAGAATTTGCCACAGATTTTGGAGCACTTTTTACTTTTTTTATTAGCACATTATTGTCGTATGTAATATACTTTTTATCACCCATCATAAACCGCTTCAAAATGTTTCAACTGATTTGACTTAACTTCCCTTTTGTAGAACTTCGCAGACAAAAATACGATCGAGTAAGTTATTTAGCTTCAATTCGTGTGACAGCCAAACATCATGCTTTTATTGGAGCCGACTATCTTCAACTAATTTAAAACTATTTGGCGATATGTTTACGTGCCTGGCGATATCACGGTTACTTACGTATCTTTCTTGCTTAACTTTCCCAATAATTTTATCGATTTTTTCCGTAATGGGTCAACCACTACTATGAGATCTCTTCCCAACAAGATTTCCACAACGAAAGCGTCAGAGCCATCCTGGGGGCCATTTCTTTCGACAACATATCTTGATCATAAACAGTACAGAATGTTTTGTAAGCCAGGCCGGGGCGTTTATGCCTTCATTGTAATAAAATTGCGAAGTATACCAGATTTTTGCCGAAATTTTACTTACTTTAAAGCCACTCTACATCTAGTTGAATACAGACAGTCAAACAATTTTATCATGTTTGCTACTGCGGTGCTTTACGGAAAGAGGCAAAGTTTTTGTTGGCACGTGAACGGGGTGCATTGTGTGCATTCTTGCATTCTGATGTCGTGTTCCTTTCAGGAAGTGACTAGCATTCCTCAGACGGACAGTTAATTTCATCACACATAGCCTTTCGACCATAAATTGTCAAGAAAACAAGATGGCAAGCAAGCTGCATCAGATAAAATTTAATGATTGAATTAGAGAGGATTCCTATAAATAAGATAGGTTATGCTTATACCATTTATCTATAGTTCTGAGTATTTACTAGTATAGGATCGGTAGGGAGAAACTTGTAAGCAACTGAAAGAAACCATTGCAAGCTACCCCCGTGCTATAAGAACTGGGTTGATGCTGTAATGTTCCGTTTCGACTGCAGTTCCTTATATTGTAACCACAATTAATACAAAAATCTAAGACAAAATAAATATGACTATACAACATTTTCTTGATTCTGTCTGTACGGTGAACTTCCACTGATTTTCACACCTCATCGTTAAGATCCCATTACTGCGCTTCGTCCGGCGGCGCGAAATATACAGTCAAGTAAACAATGGAGCACATATGTACTCAATTACTAAATATAGCTGTTGCAATTACTTTTAGCATGCAGTTGTCATTTAACAAAATATTTTTGTTAACTCTACGGTACCCTTTAAGATTGCTACATCTAATTATAACATGAATATTAATATTATTACCTAAAAAAAACGTTCTTGGAAGGCAGCTAGCAAATTTCGCTTCGAACGATTTAGAAGGAGACTACCGTGCCCTTATTTGGAACCAAGCGCACATGAAGCTGCTGTTATCTCTAATAATATGGTAGCGGAAGCGCCGTAAACCGTCACTGTATAGAAATTTATCAACTTAACCGCAACAAGAAATCAAGAAGGGATGTTGCGAAACTTAATATTGGAGATAACCATTGTTCAAAATATTGCACTTGTACGAAATACTAATAACCTTATTTTCGAAACTGACAAAATTCAACGATCGATGGTGATACTAAAAATTGAGAAACTTCAATTTTCGGCGAGTCAAACGAAGTAGGAGAGCTACTTATAATTTTATCCAGACAACCTCAGAGACTACTTCTAGAAACGGCCGTTCGATTATGGGTCAGTCAACCACGTTTGGGGTTCGAATCCTATCGTCGACACATTTCGTTTCGTGCAGGGAGCTATCCGTCTGATAAAATGGCTAACAACGGTGCCGGACGTTGAAGTTCTTCAATCTTTGTGCACTGTACAACATAGCGCTTACGGGCTTTCCTTAGAGAACAAATATCGATAACGGTTTTTATAAAAAACATGCTCTCCCCTTCTTATATATACCAATTACTATAGATGTAGCACGTGTGTATGGTCGTTGATTACAGTATGTTCTGTTATATGTCAAATTATTTTAAATGTTATTTTTGGCGTATGAGTTAATTTCGTTAAGCATGTATTTTCCTTTACCCACATGTAGCGGTGATCACTAAAAACGACACCGATCGAAACTGTAAATCTTTTTGTTTTCATTATGAACCTGTCAGAGTTGTTTAACTTCACAAGTGACCATTTTAGTATAATAAGTAAAAAAAAATAGTAGTACAAATTACTGTGTTTCTCAATTAGACTAGAAGAGCGTTCATTAGCTAATGGAGTCATATCTGATTTGTTGAACAATTATTTGATTTGAAAAACTATTTTATATGCCTAATAAAATTATTTCTATCAATACGTCAAAAAGCATTTTGTTCCGTCTTAGAAGGCGTTATCATACTTGTATGCTTGCTCCAATTAAACTGTTCGTATTTAGGCATCCTTCTGTATTAACTGGCATCCTGTATATTACATTAGGCTTTCATATAAGCTTAGATGGCTTAGACATTCATCACTGAGTATCCAAATTTATAGGTCGGAAATGTTATCAGGTTTTTTGCAGTTGACTCGGATCAACTTGCCCAATTCAGTCGTAATGCTGGCCGGTACCAAGGTGTGTTTGGGAATCGAATCTGAATTCAACACGTCTGGCGAACTGGCGTCCTTTTTGTTCCTAAGAATCATAACATTTTAATTGAATATATCCAAAATAGCCGAATCAAAATGTATTTAAGCAACTCACATTAAATTGGAGGCAAAAAAAACAAGCAAATGTACTTCTGTGAAGCTACAGAATTTGAGAAAAGATCAGAAAAATTAAAGGGATAAAACTAGCTTTCTCTCAAGAGAAGGAAAGCTGGAGGTAATTATGCGATTTGAAAATGCTTTCACTAGCCCTTTTTGCGGATCCAAATTACTAATGATTGTAAACTAGCATTGGATACCTCATGTTCATTACGCTGATAAACCACTTGATTGTGGCTCGATCCATTAGACTGGCATAGAATTTATATATTTCTATAAAAATTACTGCCGGTAAAGATATTCGAGATTTCTGCTTCAAACACATAACGTGTCTTACTGCATATGTCGACACATAGCTGTCGATCGTTCTGCTAATACTCATTCTTATCTCACTGCTATAATAAAGAGGCTATATTTTTATTTAAAATGCTACCGCAGCTCCCAGCGCCACCATTTATCAATGAAAAAATGCTAAACTTAAAACATTGGCAAATTTTCTCTCATCGAGGTGCCAGACAATAATAATCACTTGGTAGAGTTGACCGCAAACATGGCCACGTATCCAGAGAGCACAATAGCAAACAGTTGGATAGATTTGACAGACTCTTGCGAAGAGGATCTTATCGAGGACAGCATGCGTACCGCTTACAGTCAGACGGGATCTTCACTGGGAGAGACGATATATGAAACGCCACTTTCGCAAGAAAGTCCCAAAGTTTGCACTCGACACGCTCGAAACCACCACGACTTCGCCACGCAAACTGAAAGTAACGAAGCTGGTACTAAATCTATCTTGACGATAAATCACACACGTGATTCTGCTCCTACTCAAATGGTCGTGCCTATTGTCGGACTCTGTCTACGAAATCGGCGTGTGATTTTCGACGTATACTTCATTCACGCTTTTGTCCTTGTGGCGGTCTATGCGCTGATATGGAGGATGTTTTCGTGGCTTATGTGACGAGCTCTATTTTTCAGTGATTTTTTTTACCTATATTGACCCACGACTGAAGATTTGCATGGGCATTTGAAAGCGGGAGTCACTTAAACGGTCACAGAAAAACCTGCTCTTTTAAGGGTAACGCATATTAGTTGAGGGAGTTGCCTTATTTCAAGATACACGAGTGTGCTTACTAACCACACACAGAATAAGTAAATATCATACGCGATTGCGCGCCGAGTAGCCCATTTTTGTCCTGAGCTAGACGGAATGATATATACAAACTGGAAAATAAAACGAGTTATCTAGTGTATTTTCTCATAATAAGCAAAATTATTTTCTGCACCAGTAAAACTAATTTGTCTTCAAAACTTGCGAAAGATCGCCAAATGCTAGATTACCGCGAGGATTTTTTCGGGAGTTATCCACGTTTTGGAAGGAAAAAATGATGCTTTATAGAAAATTTTCTCCGAATGCGCTCAGATTATGAAGAATTTTGCTTTTCATTTTGTGTAATGAGTGGTGAATTTTTATAATGTTTGTGTTCAGGGTGTCTGCGATCATGTAAATACGCCTGCCCTGTAGAACGCTAAATTGATCCATTCTTGGTGGGTCATGTTACTTTATGTAAAGCATGCCAGAATGAAGGGACAATTTCCTCCCGTTTGCCGGCGCTTAGGCTGTGGCTTTAAAGAGCTCTTTCTGTATTTTCTTGTTGGCGCTTACAATTGATTATTTAACAAGTAATTCATATGTATTCGCCATTGTAAAATATATTCAAGTTACGCATTTATTTGTGCACTATGTTTTCGAAACTCTCTCTTTTTACGGTATATAGTTTAGGAAATTAAATTATCCGAGTATCAGGTGGCGCAGATACCAGTGCCGACTCCCGTGTGCAGCCACGGTATTGAACTTGAGTTTACTAATCTATATCATTCTGAACCAATAACCGAACAAGTTCTAGCCTCTGCAAGAGACATTTTGTAGCAGAACGTTTCTGTGAAACCGCACGCTATTACATTTCACTGCACTGACGTTAGACGTCTTTCGAGTATTGCAAAATGCTGGCTCTGGTTGTGGATGGATATTTTACCTGCAAAAAAATTTGCTCTTATTAGTTATCGTAGTAAATATTCTACCAGGTCTGCACCTGACACTGACCAACATAACACTTCTAAGTTGCTAACTGCTTTATCCACTCACATGAATTGTTTCTTCGTAGGTTGAGATAAACAAAATTTAATCAAGTGCCACATTCTACAGGCGTGGCTACAAGTTCTCGGTAGAATGACCTGTGGATGACTTACATGAGCGATGACCGCTTTTAAAAAATCAGGATCACGTAGTTCAAATAAAAACACCTCAATGCATGCAAGGTCTGGTAATGCTGAGGTAGGTATCGTTGCTACAACTTGCGGTACAAGGCAGAGAGGTGCATATACATCTATTTGATATACACCCGTCAAGCATTGCCTTAAATTACAGGTGAAATTTGAATCTGGATAAGCCATCTCATATCATGTAATACCAGACAGTTCATAAAATTACCATATGTGGACTTGATAGAACATATTTAATAGCATGATGCCAGTATCACCATCAACTATCACGAACGATAATGTCACTCGCAAATTCAACGTTGTTTGTCTACTAAATGAACCCAGTTTCACTTAACTGACGCCTCCATTGTTTGGGTATTTCCGGTGTCATTACGTTATATCTGTGAACTAACCGACGGTAGGTGACTATGGGTAGCGACGATGCGCCAACGATCCCACTTGATGACGTGCAGAAGTTTGTCGCAAATCTGGGTTCTGATGAGAAAAAGTGGGCCTCTGTGCCTTACGCAACTCAAAAAGCCTAATGTGGTGATGCACTTAAAGGATGTCACAGAAATTATTATAATCGCGCGTCACGCGAATGTCGCAGAAGTCTGAAGATGATCAAGTAGTAATGATCAAGATGCTAACAAAAGCCAAACTGAAATCAATGGTGTTATCGAATGCGTTGCAAAATTAACAACAATATTTTAATGAGTTCCAGACAAAAATTACCCACTTAAAAGCTTGGTAGCTTGTCAGTGAGAGCGAACAGGCACAGTTAGAAAAGCAACATGACGAATAATCAATCAGATTTATTACTTGAAACTAAAATGTGCAAAACGCCAAATGCGCTTCTTCAAGAAGCTGAAATTGCACAAATTATTCGAAATCGCAGAAGAAAAGCTTGCCTATCACTACGATAAAATTGACTCAATCGGGAATAATTTACAAAAAAAAAAGAGGAAAGACTTACACACCCTTCACAACACCTGAAAACGCTTCGACACCAACTCGTTCCCGTTGGTACATTGTAAAAAACACTTTTTATCGAGAGCATCGTGGAACCACCAGAGCTGTTTTGAATAATCCTTTTCGATAGTCACTCAGGTGGTCCTTCGCAAGCTGCCTTGACCCGTCTACCTGACATTGCTGAGAAGCCGTACCTGGAACCTCGTTACAGTTAGTGCTGAGCTAGCTCACGAAGGTAAGGAAAAAAAAGCCCCTAGTAACAACAAAACAATCCCAGACGGTTTACAAGAAATGGTGAATTTATCAACACCTGTTCTATGATAGGTCTTTACGCATCCTTTATATTCCTACGTAAAGTGACAGACACCGGTAATATCCAAGGAGGTGACAAGATATCAGTTTCTTTCCAACAGATTTCGTCCTCGGGTGGATTTCTTACAAATAATAGTGTAGTGCGTCATAGAGATTAGCTAACTAGGAATGTTTTTAAATTGACTTTCGAATATTTGATTTGCTCTCTTGTGTGTCAACATATTGCGATCTTGGAAGTCATTGAAGTTTTGCTACAGGACCAGGAATTCACGCTGCGTTTGTATTGGTCAGTTGTTGGGAAAAGTTGTATTTGTCGCAGTAGCCATAATTAACTGCCCGAGGAATAATTGCCTTTTGAAGAACTTCGAAAAAACCCGTCGTCGAAAACTTCGTCGACTACCCGATCGATGTAGCGAGAAGTCTCAACGGAACTGAAAATCCAAATCAATAGACGACTCGCTTTTAGCATCTCTGCTGCATGCCACTTAGTACGTTGAAAGGTCACCTTCGAAGAAATGAATTCCTCGTGAAAACTTTTTTTTTTGGGATTTTTTTGGGGAAATTATGCATGAAAAAGGATTACGTTTTTGAAACCTGTCTACTGCTTTAGTATGGAACGATTAATGAGTTGAGTCATCGAAGGGAGACATCGGTTTTGAATTAACATAAAATAGCTACAGGTCACCACAACACACGTTTGTCTTCCATCGATAGAATGCAGGCCGGCGTTTAAAGATATGCGTAATTATACAACGGCATTCTGAAGTATCGGTCTAAGGTGTTACACTGTATAGAACGGCACGTGTCACTCGGTCTACAAAACAGTTACGGAACAATAGTTGGTTACATTTGTAGGTCAAAGGGGGATTTCATTCAATTGAATATAATCACCAACCAATTGCCTGTAATTTGCTCGTTATATGAACGTAACTAGAGCTTTGGAAGTACAAGAAAGAAATAGGCACAACAAAAACTATCGATCTATGACAATGATGAGACAAGTCGAAAGGCCGGCCCATATTTCCATTTCGAAACTAACCTTCTTTATCGATCGATAAGTACATGTGAAGTTTGGAAATTATGCCTCAATAATTATCCAGCTAAATATAAATATGATAATAATAAATAGACTCCTCTTTCAGGGCGTATGAAATGTGTGATTGACAACAGTGCCTTAAATTGTTCGTTTGGTTTCTATGAGACGGTTAATGAACAAATATCATATTGTTTTTATTATTTTAACAGCGTGGATTTACCGTAGACTTTCATACGCTGTAACTTGTCTACGTTACGCTAGCATTAATTAGCTTACTAGGCTTGTAAGTTAGCAGCATTTGCTGCTTAGATAATTTCAAACATCTTAACCAAAAAAGTTACCCATTAAAGTCAAAAGTTACACATTTTATATGATTAAGCCTAAGCTTAGGCAAGATAGAAGATTTACATTCTGGCGCCTTTAAGCCCAACTTTGCCATGTCAGCAAGATTGATGCATCAGTCAAAGTCAAGGCGAGCTGTAAAGATAAAGGTATTAGAATATGATCGCAAGCCAATCTACTACAAAACCCACAATCGTCATTCATGAATATGTAATTAAAGCCCAGTCTATGACGCACCTAACAGCGCTATTCATAGCCTTTAGCCATTTCGACTCCTCCGTATTTTGAAAGAAGGCGCGCTCCTCGTAGCGCCGACAATTCAAGCGACCACGGAAGCACCCACAGCGAAAGATCAGCCCCGTCTCATCAGCATTATTATAAGAGCGCCAGGGTCTGTAGGCATTCGCTCATGGTTTTTCAGCGACCTTTGTGCTAATACAACAGTTGCAAGGATGTTGAGGGCCGTGCAGCGTGCGTGTTCGTCGGTTCTAAAAGCATCGAAACCGGCACCGGTCAACCTTGCAAAGGCACAAGCCGGTGTATCAGGACGATGTTTGCCAATTCTCTACGCCGCCGGTGAGTTCGAGCCGAAGTTAAGCTACGTTTCCGTGAGTTGGCAGCTCGCGCCCGGTGTGCCGTAGTCCCCCTCTGCTAGCTATGCTTTTTTTGTCTTCGCCTATGGCCAAGTTGATATTGCGGAACGCCAACCATGTTCCGGCTATGACACGGCCATCAGTGTTTCGTCTACTAAATTGGAGAAAAGATGATCCGTCAATTGCTCGAAAATCGTGTGAATGTTGCGTACTCGATAAGGTTTCGCGCTATTTAGGACCACCGAGGTAATCGAGACTTGCCGTTGGAGTCGCGAACAAAGACAGGCAAACAGCTCGTCCTTGTATGACCCCCCTGCCGTAGCAAAGTTTGTCACGTTCTATGTCAAGTTAGGTCATCTGCCAGTGATGTTAAAGTACCTTGTACAATAGAAAGTAAAGTAGCATTTTTTAGTTTCGGTTATCGCTTCGCCGAAGCGTGCTGACCCCTTACACTCCTCGACCTAGAGGTCTATCATGAACTTTTGCTGAATAAAGGCAGTACGTTCCTGTGGCCGACCGGAATGGACCCTCTTACCTCAAAATGCAATGTTATGAGATCGAGGTTTCGTACCGATATAGCTTAGTCTGAGCGTTCTAATTGATTTTTCCACATCTAATAGTCTCGATTAGCTCGTTTGGTGGGTACCATATTTGTGTTCATTGGCCACCAGCAAAGGGTCGTAGGTTACCTCACAAAGTATATAGCGTGTACAGCAGAACACTAACTTCATATGCTTATTTATTTTTGTCTCGAACCGATACGACTTTGTAGCAGAAGCAATTGATAGCAGATACTAATATTGTACGTATTGTACATGATCGCACTACGTACTGTTATATTGTAGCACTTATATGATTAGTTGGGTTCTTTTCAGTTGCTTTGTGTGTATAATGAAGGTCACTTGCAAAAAGCGTCCATTACTTAAGAAGTAGATACTTTTTGATGCTGGATAAGCCTGGCCTAATAGGGGTCAATCATGCATATCTGAAGGAGACCTTTGTATCTGAAGGACACATTCATATATGTCTAAAATTTCGTTTGTCGTCTCTTTCGTAATCGTCGAATAATCACATAGCAAATATGTTAATTTCTATCTATAATCGAGACTTTATATATATAGATCCAATTTGCCAACTTGTAAGGCCGAACACCTGTATTAGTCTGCTGGATTGTGCCATACTTTTAGCAATAAAACAAGAAAGAGTAGAATCCACTAGTTTAGAAACGTTGCCCATGAATTGCAGCTTACACAAAGCATTTGTAACCTAGCTGTCCTCTACAGAGACATTTTTGCAAGCACAATAAAGAACACTGAATTTGTTCGTGAAATGACACTGTGGCAGCAATTGTCTGTTTCAATTGTAAAATGTGAATTGTTTGGCATTATTAAGTAAGTTATGTGTTGGTGTTCGTTTGATGCCGCAGACAAGAGGGGCGTTGCCGCTCAAGCCCAGGCTAAGGCTGGCACTAATGGACGTATTGTGGCCGTCATCGGTGCCGTCGTCGACGTGCAGTTCGACGACAACCTGCCGCCTATCCTGAACGCTCTCGAAGTGGAGGGCCGCAAGCCCCGTCTCGTTCTCGAAGTGGCCCAACATTTAGGAGAAAACACCGTCCGAACTATTGCTATGGATGGTACCGAGGGCCTGGTGCGTGGACACAAGGTTGTTGACACTCAATCCCCCATTAAGATTCCCGTCGGCCCTGAAACCCTTGGCCGTATTATGAACGTCATCGGTGAGCCCATTGATGAAAGGGGCCCGATTAATACTGACAAATTTGCTGGTATCCACGCCGAGGCTCCTGAATTCGTGGAGATGTCCGTCGAGCAGGAAATTCTGGTAACCGGCATTAAGGTCGTCGACTTACTCGCCCCATACTCGAAAGGTGGTAAAATTGGTCTCTTTGGAGGTGCCGGTGTCGGCAAAACTGTACTTATTATGGAGCTGATTAACAATGTCGCCAAGGCCCACGGAGGTTATTCGGTGTTCGCCGGTGTCGGCGAACGTACTCGTGAAGGTAATGATCTATACCACGAGATGATTGAGGGCGGTGTTATCTCGCTCAAGGACAAGTCTTCGAAAGTATCGTTGGTGTACGGTCAGATGAATGAGCCCCCTGGCGCTCGTGCCCGTGTCGCTCTGACAGGTTTAACAGTCGCTGAGTACTTCCGTGATCAGGAGGGCCAGGATGTGCTGCTTTTCATCGACAACATTTTCCGTTTCACCCAAGCCGGTTCTGAAGTGTCTGCTCTGCTCGGTCGTATCCCGTCCGCTGTGGGATACCAGCCTACCTTGGCCACTGACATGGGTTCTATGCAGGAGCGTATTACCACCACAAAGAAGGGTTCCATCACCTCCGTACAGGCTATTTACGTGCCTGCTGACGATCTGACTGATCCGGCTCCGGCTACGACCTTCGCTCACTTGGACGCTACCACCGTGCTATCCCGTGGTATTGCTGAACTGGGTATCTACCCCGCTGTTGACCCCCTTGATTCCACCTCGCGTATTATGGACCCCAATGTCGTTGGACAAGAGCACTACGACATTGCTCGTGGCGTCCAGAAGATCCTGCAGAACTACAAGTCGCTCCAAGATATCATTGCCATTTTGGGTATGGACGAATTATCTGAGGAGGATAAACTCACCGTCGCTCGCGCTAGAAAAATCCAGAGGTTCCTTAGCCAGCCTTTCCAGGTACAATTTTCTCTTCTCGTGATGATAACACGCTCATATTTGGTTTAGAACTCTTCACTGTTATATCGATATCATGAAAAGACGTGGCTTAAATGCAGTTGTTGCTATCAGTTTCTATGAAACACAGCGAAAAGAATATACTTACAGGCTACTTCAAATAATTGTTTCCGCACATTTGTTTTTTTACAGGTGGCTGAAGTCTTTACTGGTCAGGCTGGAAAATTTGTTCCTATCAACGAGACCATCTCTGGCTTCAATATGATTCTCAAGGGTGAACTTGACCACTTGCCCGAGGTCGCATTCTACATGGTGGGTCCCATCGAAGAGGTCCGTGAGAAGGCTGAGAAGCTCGCTGCCGAGGTTTCGACCTAAACTTCTCTTTGCATGAGTGAAAGAAACAAGAAATACATTGCCATTTAGCAGTGGAATAGAGCAGTCATAAGCCGGTATCTATGTGAAATAGAACTGATGGATATCGAAGTTCGGATGATTTTAGGAACAGTAATAAGAATGATGATAATTTAAGAAAAAAAAAACGAAGAAAGAATAAAACTGACACATACTACTATTCCTGTTACGGCCACAGCAACATCAACCACAGCAGCAAACAACAGCGCCAACATTAACGGCCCTTAACTGTGCCTGACGTTCTAAGACATCATCGTTCGACATCACTGTTAATTCATGTAATTAGTCTTTCGCAAAAATTAATTAGTCCAAGCTACCCAATAGCCTTCAACATTAACTGTTAGACATAACTGAATAATCCACAGCGTAACTGTACAGGACTATTTACATAAAACAAAGATGTCCAGTAACAGGTGAAGTATGAGAATGTAAATAGAACGTTAGGCATAGTAGAACAGCGAAGCACAACTGTATGGAAACAATGTGAAAAATGGGTGCGACTAGATTGAGGAATGAATAAAGAAAAGTCTCATCAATAAACAAGACTTCTTCTGTTTTAGAGAATGCTCATAGTGTTATCATTTATTTCGGCAGCATTCGAAACTATTTAGGGCAGAGTGGAAAAGTATACCAGGCAATAAACCGTATCGAGGCTTACGTGTTGAATCAGGCAATTTATCAGATGAATTTCTCATACAAGACAACTTCTATAGGGATATTGAAAAGTCAGCTCTTTCGTGGGAAGTTTTTGACGAAATGGCTACCCATCTGTTGATAGCGTCAAACTTGTTCTAACTATTATCGGCTGTAAGGTAATAATATCAACTTTTATTATTACTATATTAATTTTTCCTACAAAGGAGAAGCTCGAAGCTTTACTCTGCCGGCCATTTTAATTCAATCGAACAAATTTTTTTCTCTAAAGCTGCCGTTCTCTGGATTGGTTGTGTTTTATTTTTGCAATCTTAGATCTATATATTAAATAGTATTCGCTGTGGAATGTTTACTATGGCTGTATTGGGTATCTTCCCTTATACCTGATAGAAGGCCCAGGGAGATACGTATGAAAGAGCTTGCCGGTTGTACCTACTTAAAGTTGTCCTACCTATGATAAATAGTTTTTTCTTTTTTTTTTTTTTTTATTATTATTTACCGTTACTAGTATTGCAAATTTGGCGAGTTTGTTGCTAGTTCATAGTGAATTGAGTGTCTTCGACGATACCGACAAGTTATAGAATTTTCTAAAAATATTTAAGATGATAATTTTATTCCAAAATTTTCATTAGATCATGAATTTGATAACATTATTAGATAGACACAAGCTCGTCTAATGAAACGCACTCATTTACCAAACTGCATTCAAATGAATACAACTTTTCACGCGCGGCGAATAAAATTGTGCATTATTTATTAGGGTCTCTAATAATCACCGTCGTTACAGTTTTGCTGTTTTCTATTTTGTTAATCTTTGTCATTTTTTTGCTGTGCCATCGATCATTAATGAAATTCGACATATTATTATTATCAATCTCCTCGTCAATAATTCTGTACAGTCATATATACACGTTTCTGGTTTAATTTCGTGCAATCAATGAGAGGCCATTTTACATTTGACCGTTGTCGCCTTTTGCCCAGCCTAACCACGATACAGTTCGACCCCATTCATTATCATCATTGTTAATATGCTATTTTCCCTTCGCACACTTTTTGTCTTTTCTTTCTAAATATCATCTACTATGATAGTAGTATTAATAACCTATATTATCAATAGTATCATAATGTATGTCCAACCGTCCGACTAGCAGCACTAACTCTCGACACGATATGGTTGTTCTCGATCGATCGATAGTTTATTTCATCCGATTTCAATGTCCTTTCGGCACTATATAGTATATATTTGTATTCTCTCTTATTTCCACGATCAGCAAGCGAGTAATACTTTTTCTGCTCCACTGTATCATTATCATCACCGTCGTTGTTGCCTGCTGTAGCCAGATATAGATATATACATATATATATATATATATGTGTGTATATATACACACATATATATGTATATATATACACATATATGTATATATATATACACATATATGCATACATATATGTACACAGCATCAAAGCACTGAAAAGTTTTACAGGTTGGCGCATACTGACAGATGCTAGCAGGTTGCCTACCAGTGTATAGCGGCAATTTAAGACGACTGCTTTGCTCGGTTGTCGTCATTGTCGTTTTGTAATAAATCTGCGTTCTACTAACTCTACTACGAGAAAACCATTCTGTTGGATGACATATGCATCTCAGACGCTACTCGTAAAAATATAAGGACTTTTCTGTTTTGGGCTAAAGAAGAGCAAACACTTCGTACGCGGTCGAAGAGGAGGAAGGCTAGGTTTAGAAGAATATAAGCTGATCTATGTGACTCAGCGAATTGGCTCAGCTTTGATGGTCGATTCACATTTCAGACAAATGCTTTTCACCATCATGTGGGTGTTGTTTTAATCTTCGCGATTAACAGATTGCTGTCACTTCAAGTGGATTCCCCAATGACATACACTACATGTTTCTCTATACGAACCTAGGATTATAAAACTACTAAGTTTAGCTTATTTACGAATGTGTACAAGCATGGCATCTTCACAGAGTTGTTATTCGTTGCACCGCCATTGTTTGATAACATTAAGGCAAATTTTTGTGCGACTAAGAAGAATTTTGTCTATGTTTATTTGTTCTAGCAATAAAGAACTGCAATTACGCTACTCGTTTCCCCTAATAGTGTTCTAGACGAACCAGATCCAAATCTATGGCAGAAGCTTTAAAGCTACGTCATTTAGTGTACTATAAGAACCGGAAATATATCAGCTATAAACACACCGATTAGGTACGATAAACCAGAGAAGACCTGAAATAACAACGTGGTCGATGTGCATTACAAAAGCCACCAAAAACAACTGAATGAAGGGTATAAGCACCAAGTTTCCTTAATCGAGCGACTCTACGCTATGTTCATACGTGTGTCTGATGTCGCCAACATGTAACCGGTAGAACAGATTAATTATAATAGATTTCGGACAGATATATACCATGGACGATTAAGATAAATAGGTTTTCTTCTATCTAGATACTTCAAAATACAAGTCTATCGTTTTAATTAAATCGCGGATAGTAGCTTTATATCGAAATGAGATTGTTCGACGGCGAAAGTTACAATTGTTACTGCTTGCATTGCTGACTTTCTCTCTCTTGTTTGTAGTTAGGCTTTGGTGATGTCAGTTTCTGCTAACACAAGCTGGCAAATTAGTCTGTTGCAAATAAATGTGTTTGTACCATATACAATTTGCTGATTTTATGTCAGGTCCTTTTGCGGAAAGAAGCTCAAGTCAAAAAGTACATATTTGGATGGACTTAGCTTTTTTGCACGGAAACACTTCCATAGTACATACATAGTACTATGCTGTAGTACTGATACAATATTCACAGGAGTCATAACCTATCTAACTCTCGTATGCTCAAGCATTTACTTGTTTTATAGAAATTCGAATTGAAGCAAATGAAGTATAGGCGGACAGAAGAAAGTCGAACATATCTAACACGCATTGTACGGCATGATCAGACTCCAATAACGTGCCATTACTAAACTGATGCGATTTATAGATAGCTTTTCCCACAAGACAGCGACTCTATATTCAATTGCATCAGTATATAGCTCTTCATACTTCAACATAGGCATATACCCATGTACACTTTTGCCATATATAAACAAGGTTGTTGGCCTACTTGACCAATATTTATATTTTATCGACTCCTGGCCCCAGGCAATCTTAGATCTGTCCGGGGCAACCTTTTCTCTCTGTCTACTGCATAGACTGGTGAGGACAATCGTATTATTTGCTGCTGCCCTCTGCATTCGTCCTACCGCTAAACGGTTCAACCATAATACCGTTATCTATTTATCGTCTAGATCCCCCCCTCTCACTCACTCTATTTGTTGCAGTGTAAACTTAAACAGAAGACGAATTCGTTCACTGCGGAACAATATTTCCGTTTTTCTCCGTTTGTCCAAGCAAATTTAAATATGGCATACCATGGCATCCATCTGATTTATGCATTATAATTACACAGATGGTCGATAGTTGATAACACAAATTATATTATTCCACTTCAGTAGTTGATCTATTTGCGTCACTTGCTACCACGACTTGTGGTTATGACGACTGTTCATGCCTGAATCGTGCATTCTATACGTGCAGCCATTTATTCAGTCACTCAATGAGATTTCACCAGAAGTACGCTGCTTTGCGTGAAACAAAATATTTTTTTGTCTACAAAACCAATAACAATGCTTGTCAGAAAGCGCATAAGCGCTATAATACAAGGAAGACGGAAGGTCAGTTATTACCACAGTTATTTTTAGCCAAAGGAAACGTTTGTGTCACACTATTTTACACCGATTTGCTTTGAGGCACAACTGGCTAAAGTGGACAGAGATCTAACTAATGTCAAGGGTGACAAGTTTATCATATGTACGAACGAAAATCAAATGGTAGCCGTACATACTAGCTTACTACTATTTGGCTGGAACATTTTTTCCTCTAAAAGTAAAGGATCGATTTAATGATAAACAGTCTCCACAATGAGAAAATTGCTTAGATCAATTCTCTAGAAGGGCAGGCGATATCTCCACTCAGGCTATTATTATCATTTTCGTAAGGACCTTATAACGGCGTTCATTAGATTAGTGGTCCATAGCGTAATAATTAAACATAGCATGAAAACAGTAACCTCCTTTATGTGTCGTAGTCATAGCTGTGTGCGTCTGTTTGTGTGTTTGTGTGGGGGGCGCGGAAGGGGGCAGAGTGGATAAGGTGGGAGTATCTGTCTGCGTGCTCACGCTTGACTAAATTTACCGTTGCTTCTCGTCTATCTTATAATTCTTCTTTATGCAAACTCATTAAACCGAAATCATCATAATCATTGTCATCATCATTATCCAACTCGGCTTACTATGGGGGTTTCTTTTTAAGCGGCTTTCATCAATACTTTAACTTCATTACGTTTAAGCACGATGACTGCACAGCGGAACTATAACAGCATCCTATAATCCGCATTATCCTTTTCCTTAGCATCATCACCATGGTTCATACCTATTGTATTTCTACTTGTTTGTCATTTTACTTAGCTCATTGCAGCTGCTTTTTAGTTTACACGTATCTGGCATTGAACTGAAGCCAGATCGAAGTCCTAAGTTGTCCCATATCCGTGTCCAGCACCGCAAAAATAACGACGAAATAGATTAAACCTTTTTCGTTGTTCCTGTCTGTGTGTTGGATTAGCAGGACGAAACAAGAACGCCAAGCAATGATTAATTGTCTTTTTTGAAGTCATGTGCGAACGATGGATGGGCATCAGCTTCTAGGACTTTGGCATGAATGATTGACTGAACAACCCACTCTGAGGACACAGGAGACACCCGAAGCGATCGAGCGGATCGAAGACTTAGACTCGAACAGTCAGCTTGTGTCACCATGAAACGAATGGGCCCATCGGGACCGCCTGCAGTCGACTCCCTGTTAGCTGCTCCGGATTTCTCTGGAATCGAAGTCATAGGAACAGACATACATTTATATGCGGGCCTAATGGTCGAACGAACACATATACTTGAGTTAAATGGTGGGTTAACGTGGGAACGGTTTCACTTTGTATTAAACAAATAAAGCCCAAAAATCAAGTGGCCTAAAAAAGCTTAAACAGACACACGCCTCGATGACTGGATCATCCGTCAAGCAGAGAAAAATAGTCGCTCAGTGCGAACAGCAATATTTAAATTAAGTATGAGGAAAACATATAATTGTAATAACTAGGTTAATCTATGCGTACACAAGATATCTATTGCTAAACAGATACTTCGTAATATAACGAAACGCAGTGTGCGAAATCTATCAGTCATTAGTCGCAACCATTATAAATATTACCTGAACTACACCAACGAGCTAATAAACTCCATTTAATCAACTTAAGACCCGTCAATCGTATGAAGAGGCCAAATATAACTTACGTGGACTTTGCCTCTGTGGCAGTTTGGACACGATTCGGCCCCCCGCCGCAACAATCACCTGCGACCACGTGTTTACAAATTGATTTTGTTCAGATACTACGGCAATTGTCATCTCGGCGAAAATTGGCGAGTGAATACTCGGCTGTTCCACGGGCAGCTGCACGATAGTAATGACGACAACGACAACAGCAATAGTAACAAAAAGATAATAAAATGAAGAGACGTCAAATCACATGTACTAGCATGATTCAATCATCAATTGAATAACTCTTCAGTAACTATTCAACGTTACACACGAAAGCGAAACTTTAAAGTCGTTCTTGAGAAAGTGTTGCTATATATTTTAATGAATAAAAATTTGATCCCATGATGCTAAAATTGACCAAGCTGAGCCTGTGAATTTTTAGTTTGGAACACGTATTTATGAGTGAATAAATTCAATGAAACTTATTACTGCTGGCGCGGTCGAACTCTCTTATAGCTCAAGAGCCCCTGCTGATATACCTTTGTTAATACCGAGAGACCTGCCGGAAGCTGGTACTTGGCAGGATGCGGCATTTTGCCTTCCCTTAGTGCGGCGTGCACCACCTGATATCCAAGACACCGGATGCCTGCCGCCAAGCACAAGACATATTTGAGTGTTTTCATGTGACTACGAGCTAATAAGAAACGCTCCTGTATGCCCGTATCTAGCGAACTGGCGCATTCTGCCTCAGAGAACGACTTGAACACCACACCGCCATTTTCTTCAATCAGCGTCTGTAGCTGTTCCTTGTTAAATTCAATTTGATCACTGCTCGATACTGAGTCGAACGGCGAATCATCCGAAGTCGCTCCGGAAGAACCGTAGAAATCTTTAACTGTCCGTTCGGTATCAGTCAGCAGGAAGCCCATTCCCTCAAACACTAGTGTAGGTGGGTTGAGACTAGAGCCCGAAACGCCGCCCCCCGATACCGAAGCTATCCCAGATACGCTCGCCTCCGAACGACCGTACCGGACCCGACGAGTCTTTGACATTAAGCGGTCGGTTTCGGCCTCAGAACTAGTGACGTCAAGCCCCGATGACATGCCACGACCACGCCTCGAGGTCGCCCGATTGTTTGCCAATACTTTGAAATCTTTGAGACCTTTTTCAGCTTTTTCAAGTGAAGTTGGCTCTGTAATAGGCGTTTTGTTCTTGAGGCGTTCGCGGTACGTGTTAACCATCTCCACAGTGAGAACGATTCTGTCGCGTGTGATACGCAGCGTCTTCTTGTTATGCAACTCTGCGATATAACCCGATGCCTGGTTAACCATCGTCCTGTAAATAGGACCACAAGATCGTGTTACAACCTAGTCAGTATTAACGAGAAAATGACTCAGTGAGATTTATTGGATCGAGTCGTAAGCTCAAGAAGAAGAAAGCTCTTCACCGATGCATCATAACTGTGATTAAGTATCTTCAAAATACCTTTAGATTTGCATCTCATACAAGATGAAGAGTTCCTACCTCGCTACCTAAATATTCCTGGGTTTGATTTCAACGGGTGCGTGATTTATTTAAATAAATATAATATCTTATTTAAAGCACAGATGATCATTCGCGTTATTTTTTTGACAAACTACAAATACTACTGTCATTCCGTGTAATCACAGGTGACTATTTGAAAAAGCTAGATAGAGTAAACAAATTCAACTTGAAGTCGCATTAGTAATAACATTTAAGGCAACAGTTACTTACTTTCCTTTGATGACACCGAATTCGAAGTTATTCCGCACTTTGACATAGACATCCTGCCCAACCTCTAACTCGGTTAACGGTACAACCTGAACAGCCTTCACCGTGTCGTGTGTCCCATCGGCGAAGTTTACAACGCATCGTCCATTTTTGTACACCTATTCCGAAAGGTATCAGATTAAAATAATCCCTAAATTGTTTCAAGTCAGCCCAATTTGTGGAAGTGATCAAATATACAACAATTATTTGACTACGACAACGGTATATTAAACGGACGAAAAGATGTATTGGATTTACCTTTACTATAGTAGCCATATAGAAAAGCTCGTCGGACCACTGGGCGAGGCACATCGAACCGGGTGCTAAGGGCCCCGTCTCATCCATCTCCGACCTGTTGATAATACGAGCGTATTTCTTTATATTATTGTAGCGTCTATTTATTTAAAAAAAATGCGAAACACATGTTTATATAGTGACTGTTAAGCATTAATTTGTATGAATAGTTACTTTATTACATAACGTTACATTAACCTTAAACATTTGACATGATAACGCGATATCGAACACAAAACAGGATTGCACTTATGGAAAACCTAGCTAAATATCAATTTCGAATATATTTCATTTAAACAGTGGTTGGTGACGGTATAGAGAAAAGTTTGATCGATAACATTGTTCAGTTTTCATGATCCGGCCTAACTGAACAATTTTCCACTCAACTGCATTTCATTCTATTTTACTTACCCAGCCGCAGCAGATGGGGCCGTTTTGGCCTCCGCATCGTCGCTCTTCTCTGCTGCTGTCACTTCGTCCTTCGTTTCTTCGTCTTTGGCCTTCTGCTCATCGTCCTTCGCTGGCTCCTTGCCATCTACTAATTTGCGTTGCTTTTCGCTGTAAGTATCCTTATCGACGTCAGCTTTTGGCTCTTTCTCTTTTTCCTCAATCGCTTTACGTGGCCTGGCAGGGATTGTCGTTGCCGTTGTCGACGAAGGCTTCTTGTCCTGTTTGTCATCTGTTGGCAACACCAAAGGTAGCTGAACTTGCTGAGCTGTCGCCCCCGACGATTTCCCATTCTCGAAGACAGTGCTTGCTGTAGGTGCACTTTTGACGGCAACAACAGGCGTCATTGATAGAGAATCAAGTGATAATCTCCGCTCGGGCTTGTCAGTCAGGAAAGTGCTAACTTTCAACGATGTTGTTGGTGTTATGTCTGCCCCGGCTATCGTGGGCCTTGGGGGCGATTTAATTGCGACAACCTTATTAGTGGGGCCGACCGTGGCAGGGGCTACAACAACCGGTGTAGGCCGAGGTGAACTTAATTGGTCGATGCTCGAAATGTCAGCAACTTCTCCAGAGTCAGGTCCTTCGTAGGGGCCGAGAGTAGTGGGGCCAAACTGCAATACAGCTTCCATCTGTTTGGCAGTAAGCTGCAAGGTCCTCTCAAGTACCTGCTCACGTTGCACCAACTGACGCCTAATAATCTGCCCGCTTTTTTCAAATACCTGTATAAGGCCACGCGCAGCAGGAATACGGTGATCGAGTTAGAGAGAATTTTTCGTAAACTGATAAGGTACAAGAAATTGGTTGAAATATGGATTCCGTTGTATTTGTTTGTATTTGACAAAAAAAAAGCCGACCCGATTGCTCTCTCAACGTTAAAATTACATATCGAACACGATGTCAGATGAATGAATCATCAAAAGGAAAAATACATGAGTAAAAAATGATTTTCCAATTCTAAACTTACAGCACAATGCCAGATTCAGCAAAAACTATTTAAGACTTTAATAATAGATCTCAACCCACGCACCTGCTCTGTAAATACCAGTCGGTATTCTTTCAGTGTTACGGGTTTGTTGCTGTCGATGGGCGTGAAGCTGTCGCACGAAAGTGAGCTGGCTGAGACTGCAGCCGCGGCCATTGGCCCGTTCGGAAGAGGCGGAACTTGCGGTACTGGCAGTGCGGTCCGTATAGAAGCCGGCGGTGTGATCGGAGTATTAGGTGAGAGCACAGCGCTTGACTGCTGGGTGCAGTTCGAAATTGAGCCCGCCGGGGACAGCAACGGGCCTCGAGGAAACATCGTTTGTTGTTGTTGTCTGGTTTGTGCCGGCGCATGGGAGGCCTGAGGGCCCGAGGTTTGATCTCTTTGACGAGGATCCTCAAGTCTTATAGACCTATGATCCCCCTTACCCTGATCACTAGACGCGAGCGCAGAGCCTGTTTGTGGCTGAGGTTGCTGCTGTTCAGCCTGTTGTTGTGGATTAGACGAACCAAGGCACTCAGCTTGTGCAATACTCTGATCCAACGTCTGCTGTATAAGAGATATACTCTGTGCTAGACTTGAATTGTCATCTGGGGCGTCGCCAGGAGACGCGAAATCAAAGCTCTCAGAGATGCCACTAAGAAGATCCGCACTACTTGTCTCCATTTTGATCGCACCTGAATATACACAAATACAGAAAAAAACGTACGATATATAAATCTTAAATATATAAGCAATAAAAAAAAAGCCTTCTGTGGTAAAAGGAAGCGGCTGCGGTCCTTTTATTACATTTGCTTATCGTAATAGCTCGAATGTTCAGAAAATTAGAAAACCTTATAGGAGATTAAGTCAAAAGATGCGCTTTCAATAGAGCTTAATTGTATTCTTCATTTTATAGGCGCATATGTAGGTTCAATGACATCCAAAGTCCAAAAAAAAGTGGAAAAAATTCAAAAAACTTTTAGAAAACTCTTAGATATCAAATCTTGTTTGCAATACCGTGGGATACACAGTTCGACTCCAAGATTAACTTTCTCTGAAATACACTTTCGCGTTCATTGATTTGCCAAAAAAATTCTTTCAACTGAACACGTCTACCCAGGACAAGCGATAGAAACAAACTGTGTGCAACTTCCTGAATATTTGTATTTAGTACATTTTTAATATGCATATTATCTTCATACGGAATTAACCGACAATAAAGTAAACAGAACTGCTTACCTTCTAGTGTACTTTTGAAGAGCAGACTGTCTCCATTGAACGCCCCGTCTGTTCTCGGTCGCTTTTCTGGTAATGGTGATCGCGTAAAGGCGTTCGATACAGCGTGGCTTAATTGGCGTTTCGAGCTCTCGACGGCCTCGTCGTAGCTAACATTACGCCAAGCTTCATCGAGCGCGGGAGTGTGCGTCTGAGGCACAGAGGAATTCTGTCCCGGATGGCCAGGACCTTGATGCACATGCTGACTAGGGTGGCTTTGGTGGCTCTGATGCCCTTGATGTGCGGAGTGCTGTTGCTGTTGATGATGGGGGCCTTGGAGGTTGTGGTGACCCTGGAGCGTACCCTGGTGTTGAAGATGAGGGGGTGCTTGTTGATGATGCCGCGTAGATCCTTGATGATGGTGCTGTTGCGACGACTGATGGTGGTGCTGCTGGCTCGGATGCGTGTGAGATGGTGTTTGGTGTGGTGTCATTGAAGACCCTTGGTGACCTTGATGCGGTGAACCTTGGTGAGGGTGGGATGAGCCCTGATGTTGAGGATGTGGCGACCCTTGGTGCTGTGGATGCTGTGATCCTTGATGTTGATGTGGTGAGCCTTGATGGGGGTGACCTGGTCCCTGATGGGGATGGCCACCTCCCTGATGCGAGTGACCAGTGGGTCCTTGATGGGGGTGGGCAGTGCTTTGGTGGGGGTGACCTGTGGCTTGATGGGAAAGATGCGACAATTGGTGGCCAAGTAATCCTGGCGGGGGCGCTGCATGTGCATGATGTGTTGTTTGGTGGGAAAGGTGCGTCTGATGAGGGGCGTGGGTTTGCTGATGCTGGGGCGGCGGACCCTGATGCCCCTGATGCGCCACGTGATGCGGTAAGTGTGGTGGTCGTTGATGACCAGGGTGGACTCCGACGACGACATCATGGTCCGACTGTCGAGGTCCCAATGACGGAGGTTGCATCAGCGACCCGCCAGAATAGAGCGAATAGCTCAGCGAAAAATCGAGCGTTGAATCCGTGACACTGCTCCTGTACGACAAAAGACAAAAATTAAAAAATAACTGCTTAATAACAAACATGGACAATTGTCTTTAACGTAGTCAATGGTTGTACTTAATAATTCACTATATATATAAAAAAAAAAACATAGCCTATCCTTAGCGTGTTTTCGATGGAAATGACGGTATCATCTTTTTCCATCTGGCTGATTTCAGATTCTGAAACAGGATCTCCATGTTTCACTCTTACTTCGATTTGTCTTCCCAAATGCTTTAATAATTCACTCACTTACCATCTTATCATGGTAAGGGATAGATACGACACATCTAATTTTCCGCTTACTTGGTCAACATTACTCTATGATTTTATAAAAATGTTACTTTCTAATGATAACTGGATATGTATGTATATATAGGAACATGTCGAAACAATCAGGCATTACCTCAAAGTGGCAAGAAACATGGCGCATACACTCGTAAAAAGATTATTATTACTACTAAGCAAGCTAAAAGCCTATACTTGCCTTCATAAGCCCTTCAATCACGAATGTAAAAACCTGTGCAGACATACGCTTTACCAAAAAGCATATCAGAAGGAAATGCTTCTCACAGAATACGATAAGCAAACACAAAGCGACACGCGTTTGCTATCTGTACCAAATCTTCTAAGCTAGTTATGTCGTCTAGCCATCCTAGACACCAGCATTTTATTTGTTCGGTGTCACTTGTCTGCCGCTTAAAGATACCGGATTATTTAGAGCTATCGAACAGTGCGTTTACCTCTGTAATTAACCTTTTTTTTTCCGCCCCGCATTCTTTTGCGCATAGCACTGTTCACTGTTATTCCTAATGGTATAAAAACTTCGCTTGGACTTTTAACTTAACGTGTTATTAACAAATAGTAGTAACAAATAATAATATAAACAAATAGTAACAAATAAGACGGTAGTGCAGTTAGGAAGTATAAATAGAAATTGCAGCAATACCACCCCCATCGTGATAGGGTAGATTCGAGAGAGCCGCCCCAAAACGCTATCGCTCGAGTAGCAAGACCAGTTGAGCACGTTATCTTTCATTACAGTTGTACGATAGTGTCGATAGGGGTTTATGGAATAAACACTGACAAAGTTTGAACAATGTTAGATTTTTTTCAGAAGTGTTTCTCAGCATTCTTTATAATTTAAGAAAAATGACGTCTTATCACTGCATTTGTGGTCTCTCTCAGAGATCGTTTAATATCCGGGTAACTTTATTTACACAGGCCGTGTAGATCGTTTAATACGAGAAATAGAAACCTATTGATTCGACAAAGCATAGCAAAACACGTTTCGGTCATTAGAGAGATATCAGTAGAAGAAGACCGAAAATTTGCGCTCCAGAACAATGCATGCGCTGAACTTTACAACATCAAGTTTCATATGGCGCCACAATAAGTTATAAAAATAGCCGTACGAACACTATTGTCGAAAGTATTGGGCAATTGAGCTGATTAGTAACTGATAAAGTGCGCTTCGATTCATTAAAAATAATCATTCTACACTGGAAAACAAAATCTTTACGTAAACATAAGGTTATTATAGGAACTTTTTCCGGAAAACCTTCGTGTTGGACCAAGCTAAGGACAAGAAAAATTAGTAACGAAATGATGATAATACGCACGTCAATGCAAGTTCGAATGAAAGAAGCAATGTCAGGCGTCGTTGTCCTATAAACTTTTACTGCTAGTAAAACTTGACCTATCCAACTTTTCTTTTGTTTGTTACTAACACACCTTGCCAACTTTCATCTGTTGTATATGAATTTTGAATGTACTCATGTAATTGTGCCTCGTAAAACAATACCGATAGCCGATAACTATGATTTCGTAGTCATTACGTAGATTTCTGTGTAAAAATGCCTCTTAGTCTTTTCCGCTTGGAATATACCAATTGCATACATTTTAAGGTGCGACCTCATTACCTATCCAGCTTGCTGTTCTTTGCGGGTGGACAGCGTTTCACGTATGGATATTGATGCCAACCTTATTGAACATTCACATTTGTATCAAATATTAAGTACTACATACATTGAACGCGACAGGAGCGCGGTATGTAAAATCGAATGATTTTCAAACTCCACGCCGAGTTCATAGCTAAATTAGCTAAATAATCTAGAAGCATAGCATTTACATGTATCTGTGCGCAAACATTGTTGCGTAAGTTAACGGTAGCCCTTATCTGATAGCGACCGTCTGTCACGATGCGAGCAAACGCAGTTTCAACTTTAATTGAAACATAGATATTTTGAGTGACGTTTCTTGTTTATTTATTGGAAGGTACGATTGAAATACTCTCGATTTTGTTCCTACTTAGGCAATATTATTGCCCCGTCATATACATCAATGAATGCGAGCGTTTATTCACAATATAAAACTGTATTTCTATTTCGGATCCAGATTTTGACAATGAAATTCTATATAGTGCACAAGTTTAATTCTTGATCGTGACGCACATAACCGATCTTATCATTCAGCTGTTATTTAAATTCAATGCTGAGTTTGAAAATGTTCCTTTAAAGGAACATATTGCAATAATCGATCGACACAACGAGAAACTCTCTGACAGGAGAAAAACTAATCGGATAGCATTTCATCGTACTCGAAGATATCCACAGACACATTGAATACCAACTGATGGCATCATATGGACGCACTGGTAAACAATGCTGCTCCCTCAATAAGGGCAACTAGCAGTCAGTCGGACACTGATTCGCGCATATTTACTTTCTCTCTCTCCTCCTCTCTCTCTCTCCTTCTTTCACTTTGGTGGGGGGCAAACTTGAAGGCGCTCTTCGCGCCAGATCACAGCCCTGCTATTTAGCACAAACGACTTGTTTTGCTATAGCATAATGGTGCGTATTACAATGATTAAATGCGTATGTTTTGCCCAATACAATCTGTGTTGAGGGTTTTCCAGTCGAGCACGTCCCTGTCTGTTTCTAAACACCCATTATAAGCCCAGTATCATGATTGACCTTAATTTCGGCTTCCGATGAAAAGTGTTAGACTTGTGCGTGAATTGTCGATGAATAACCAGAAGGTTAGTCTGTAACCGATCGCGGTTCACCTGAGCTCATCCAGACATCCTTCCATCTGATCAATTTTTACAAACCAAAGTCTCAAATCGAGAGCAGAACTGTCGTCCTTTTTCATATGTATAGAAGCATGTCCAATAAATTAGTCGAAATGACCGTAATGGGTGTCACTTCGAACTTTTACGCCTGCCGTTCTGTCCCATGTCTTCTTTTACTTTAAGCATCAACTGCTTATTAGTCTTCAAAATAATCCTCGCAGTAATATGCCTTGCCGACACATGAAGCTCTTCTTTGCCTACTAATGCTATCAAGAAAAACAAAAAAGAAATACTCAAGTACACCACAGACAATTTACCCAGAGGAATACCATTCTTCGCCTTTGCCAGAGAATGGTAAACAGTCGCAGTACAGAAAGATGGAGTTAGACATCGGCGTACGATGTACGATATATCGAACGTACCACGAAGGTTGGTTTCACAAAGAAACACTTAAGAACACATGAAACACATACTACACAAATATTCGCTTAGAAACAGCCGTTCGGATTAGGGGGGTGGAAAATTACAACAGTTTGGCGGCCGGCGCGGATCTATAGCGGGGTCCTTAATGGTGGAGACGATTCCACCGTGGAGAGTAGAGTTTCTGTTATCGTCGTCGGGTTTTGTACTCCGGCTCTCGTCTAGCCGGAAGAACTGGCCACTCCTACTTACGTGTCGTGACCAGCCAAGGAACTGTGCGGGTCCGAAGACATCGTTCGGCGCTTATCCGGGCGACACAGCGAGCCAAGAAGTCATCTCAGGGAACAAGCGTACAAATCAGCTTTCTCAGGCTTTTTCGATCTGTCTGTGTAATCGATTTTGCGATTTGACTCACTCCAGCAACATCATTCAAGTTAGTTGGTCAGGCGGTCCCTCTCGTCGGACCACATTCAGACACGGCCGTAAAACACTCACGAGTATCGACCGACCTCTCCACCTCTATCGCTTCCAATGCGCTTCTATGGCTGCAGTCGACATCTTGACTGTTTACAACTGGAGATTGACAAACTTCGTTGGTCACTTTTGCCGCTAGAAATTGTTGTAGGGAATTCGTAGTGACGATGATCGTAGATAATTAAGGAAACAAATTAATAGGAAAATCGACGTTGTTTTTGATCGAAAGTGCTAATGTTTATATACCGGTGATTACAATACTAAGCCGGAAGTCGACATAATCACAACAAATATCTCAGACAATTATCTAGAATCGCTTATGTGGTGCATTCAATTTGCCTGATTTCTCCAGCGAGCTCATAAAGAGATTCTTTATAATGTACTATATAATGATAAACGGAGTGTTTAATAATATGTTAATATTATTTAATATGAAGGTTACAGTTAATATGAAGGAACTGCTGCGCTCACTGAATCGAGTAGCAGGACTTTTAAATTTTCGCGCCATCTTTTAGCCACCAATGAAATAGTTTCGATTTCAATGTTAGACGATCTTTTCTGTTGGAGCATTCATGAAGTGAACTCCGCACGCCACCATGAAGGTAAAATTTTAGAAGATTTTAGCGATTCTAGTGAGCAAACGATTATTTGATGAATATATGTGGATAGCACGCATTCAATAAAAATATATATTATACATTTTGAGCGTCAAGTTCCGACCGATTAAATTGGATGTACATTTGCTAATCCTACGCCAAGCAGTTTGTCTGGTCTGATATACCGACTTTTCAACAACTCCATACGGTTCGGTGTTCGACAGTGTTTTCAGATGATCATCTACATTGATTACGTTCCAAGTGCGTTTAATTGATGTGTGTAACGGCTGTTTTAACCTTGCTCGTCAGCAAAAATATCCAATATCTAAGTTTCCCGCTGTCGCTCTGGTGTATTTTTACAGCTCAACATAAGCCATCCGCAAACTGGGAGCCAGAAGCTCATTGAAATCGATGATGAAAAGAAGCTTCGTCCGTTCTACGAGAAGCGTATGGCTCAGGAGGTGGAAGCTGACTCACTCGGAGATGAATGGAAGGGGTAAGTTGGTGTCGTTAAGGTATAGACGGTAACAGGTCTCGTCTATCAGAGCAGAATTTAAGCCAACGCATAGGTCACCGTCGCTGTTCGAAATACACGTGGCAATTAACCGGCGTTTCAATGTGCGTGTGTGTATAATGGATATAAGTTACTGTGAATGAGGCTTTTGGTGACTGCACCGATCAACATAATGTTTTGTGGAACTGTTTTGTTTTTGCCGGTCTGGTCATATATTCGAATTGTCCCTGCTTGCCTTCTTTCAAACACCTTTCGAAAATGTGACTGAGATTGATTGAAATTGAAAAAATATGAAATGAAATTCATAGGATACGCGTTCGATCAGTTTGACAGAAGTGCTTAGAATATATATTCATTTATTAGGAATCGTTGTTTTGGTTTGGCGTTTTCAGATATGTATTCCGTATCACTGGCGGAAATGACAAGCAGGGATTCCCCATGAAGCAGGGCATCCTGACTAACACTCGTGTTCGCCTGCTCCTTTCCAAGGGACACTCTTGCTATCGCCCTCGACGCACTGGCGAACGTAAGAGAAAATCGGTGCGTGGCTGTATCGTCGACTCAAACCTGTCTGTTCTGTCTCTTGTTATCCGTAAGAAGGGCGAACAGGAGATCGAGGGCCTGACCGACAAAAGCGTTCCTCGCAGGCTTGGCCCCAAGAGAGCATCAAAGATCCGCAAGCTCTTCAATCTGTCGAAGCAAGACGATGTACGACAGTACGTTGTCCGCAGGCCGATCACGCCTAAAGAGGGTATGTATCAACGAAACTGTAGTTGTCCTAATCTTATATAATATCTAAGTGTCATAAGGTATTTATACTTGCTCGGAGCTGGAGTACGAAGCAGTCCAGCTCTGATTTATTGATGTCATTTTTGCACATTGCTTCAGATAAATGTGTAATAACTCTTAACGTCAATAATTTCAATGGTCTTATTTTGTGTGGAGGATTGCATGCTGATTTTTTAATATATTATATTTGGATATGTCTAGGAAGTTACACGTAGAGGTTTAGGTAACCTCATACCTTGAAAAACTGTTGTGGAAAATCCGTGGTCGTTGAGTTATGTTCGAAACCATATGCTTTGGACGTTAATTTCATCACGGTAGAAAAATATAGTGCTCCACCCATGACTGCGACGATTATGGCATTTATGGACTAAGAGCCTATAACATCTGTCTCATTATCGGTAGCGTAACAGTTAATGAAGAATTGAAAGCATGGGGCATAATAATTGAAGAGAAACATTTGAAGGTGCATGATGACTTTTTAGCTTCTGTAGTCATTCTAAGCGGAATAATCTAGGTCCATAATAAATCAGACATTGACTTCATAATGGCAGAAAAGTGTTATACTAATAACCGTATCGACGAGGGCCTTTATCGACAATAAGCCTATCTATTTTGATAGATTTTATCATAATTCTTGTCCATTTGACGTATTAACGATAAAACATCCATAGCTGCAAAATTAATATAATCATATTCAATTTTCATTTGCAAAATGAAGCCCATAAGTGAGCCCATGTCTTAACTCAGTTTTGAGCATTTTCTTAAGTTTTGAACTCGTTCTTAGCTTTGTTCTATGAGCAGTTTCGCCTGTCCATTAGCGATAACAGCGTCCAATGATTCTTTAGGAACCGAGTCCAAGCTGAAGAAGCCTAAGACAAAGGCGCCGAAGATTCAGCGTCTGATTACTCCGAAGATGTTGCAGCATAAGCGCAGGAAGATCGCCCTGAAAAAAAATCGCCTTCAACGAAAGCTGGAACAAGAGGCTGAGTACGCCAAGCTACACGCGCAGCGAGCGAAGGAGGACAAGGAGAAAAAGGACGAGGCTGCCCGCAAACGCCGATCGACCCGGGAATCGCAGTCCTCGGCCGACAGCGGTCCGGCGAAAAGGCCGAAGACGGTGGGAAAGGAGACCCCCGCCGCGAAAACCGCTCCCGCCAAGGAGGCGACTACTCTGTCGGCTACCAAGGGAAAGCATACAGGTCCTGATTCCAAAGCCAAAGGCAAGTTCACAGACGCCGAAGCCACCGCCAAGATATCTTCCGCGGCTACTAAGGGCAAGTCTGCGGGTCCCGACACCACAACCAAGGGCAAATCGGCAGGGACAGACAGCAAGGCCAAGCTCGTTCCTCCTAAGAAGGGAGGTAAAAAGAAGTAGGTCGGTCGTTTGATGGATTTATATAAAGAGAAAACAATAAAAGATCAAGCCGTAGACGAGCAGTTTACGGACGCCCGCCACCACCAAGGGCTTCAAACTTCATGGCGTCTAGTTTTTTGTAGTTTGCCATTAGATGCTGGCTCTCTGTTGACATTCATCCCACTTCTCGATATACTTTTATCAAGTATGAACTCAGTCTTCAAAGTTGCAATGGGTTCTTTATTTCACATCTCTACGCTACTTTTTTGCTGACGTCTTTAAAAATTATATTTGATATTCATCATCTTTTGTTGTTGAAAAGATGATGTCAAGTCAAGGAAGCCTGCGACATGTTAGGTCTACACACCGCATTTCAAGATATCTGATGTACACCGTATTTAGGGGATAGGTAGTCTAATATTACTAAGCGTTACAAGTGAATCCGGCTGACATTGAAATTGAAGTTAGCGCCGCTAGCAGAGGGAATCTGGCTGTTAAATGTTAGTCTTCTAGAAAGACATGAATAAATTCGTTCAGAGGATAAAGAACCTTTATTACGAAAATTGCGTTCAGAGGATAAAGAACCTTTATTACGAAAATTGCGTTCAGAGGATAAAGAACCTTTATTACGAAAATTGCGTTCAGAGGATAAAGAACCTTTATTACGAAAATTGCGTTCAGAGGATAAAGAACCTTTATTACGAAAATTACGCTCAATGGTCAAGTTTTTAGACCTTGAAGGCCACAGCACGGCGAGAATCGCCGAGGATTAGTGAAGTAAGGAGACTTGGCTAACTGACTGTGCAGATGTTTCATCAACGGAGTATGGAAGGCCAGCGAAGAGGCAGCCAGATGTCGAAACGGATTGCCCCGGTTGAAGAAATATTCCACGAATGCAAAGCTTGGAGTGTAAGGGCTGTCATTTCCCAGGACTGGCATTACACATTTGAAGGGTCACAAAGTTATAATCCAAGCGCTAAAAATGCGGAAATGAAGTGCAAATTAAATCCCCTGTAAATTAACTCCAAGCGAATTGCAAAGGCGTGTGGTGTATTCTATGACAAATTTGTGGAACTTTACTGAGTACAAACCTACATCGAACACATGGTGGCCATAGACGAAGCATAGTTTAATCTCTGTTGCTAGTCAAAAAGGACAAAGCGGAAGTACGACGTCGCTCTGGAAAATAAATCGAGTAAGGCGGCAGAGTCTGGCGGACTCGTATGTTAGATCATGGCAGTACTTGTTATTCACATAAAGTACAGCTGTTCTATGAGATGGTAGCCAAAAGTAAAAAAATAAGTATAGCCATCCCCTTAAGAGACGCACGGACCGTTGACATGGCAATTGAAAACACAGCATGCTTGTCCAATGAGAACACCAAACGTCATTGTTTTTTTTTGTCTTAATTATTTTGTGAATTGAGCAAAAGCATTTCCAACGTTGGCTTCAACTCATTCTCCACATTGAAGTCTATTTGATTACAAGGCTTTCAATGCCCCAAAAAACGACAACAGATGGGCAAACAGATCCCACTATCGATCTACTTCGAAAAATCTTAGATAAAGAAATTGTGGATAACGATGCGGCAGAATAGGCGAATTGCTATCCAATAAGCTGCTACAGCTCCGAGACAAGCGTGTATATAAAAAGGAAAAATCTCTAACACTTTTTAAAATGATCATTCTAGCCAAACTAGATTACCATGCGTATGGCGTATTTGCATAATAAACTGCACCTGGCTGATCTATGTATTTGGACACTACAGTGTATGGCCAGTATGCAGTAGGAACTTGGCTTTTCGTGCAACCTTTTTGAGCATCTAGGGGCCACCATAACAATTATTTTCGAAATGTCATAACAACTATATCCAAAATATAGCAGTGTTTTCTGTTTCTAGTACCCAATTTCAGTAATATCATTACAATGTTTGAAAGATAAATAATGTCTAAGCAGTTTATCTCCGAAAGACTCCCTATTATGTGAAGAATAACTGCGATAACCACCTTTTGATATCATAGTTTTGTAGGGAGTCGCGGTTACGACTTGCTAGGGAAATTGCATGCAAGATTTAGGAGTAACTGCACGATATTTTTACTCGAAACTTCAAAGGAAAAGAAGAAGCGAAGGCATCGAAGACAGCGGGTGCTGGTGCGGGTAGCTACGTTTCAACGGGCTGCGGTGGAGCCTATGGTGCTTCATGCACTCGTGGCACTCGAACAGGCTAGCGGAACTCCTCGATGTAGATATGCAACCATTCCAATGGAGTATGATTTTCGTGCATTTTCAAACGTATATTCCTAACGTCGATTATTGCTAATACTGTGCCGGCGCCGTTCACATTTGAGACAGGATTAAAACCTCCGCTGCTATACGGAGGTTGAGTGACACCATAAACAAATGGTTGAGGCGCAACTATTGAAGGTACTACTATATATTGGTTATATATAATAGCCTTCGTAAAGATGAACCGCACAACCAAGTATTGAAATGTTGATGGGAATCATGGTGGCTGATTACCAACGACACTTTTAAGAAAGACCACGAGGATACCGAAAACGCAATCAAATTTGGTGGAAAAACAGTGGTGATATACGCAGTATATAGATCCAAGAACAGAGACAAATAGGCTTAACTAAGCTACCTGCCCATTCACCTCAGTAGGACACCGGGTGGGTTTCGTTAGACGGAGTCGCTCCGGCACCCCGTTACATAGTGTACTTGCTATATATATGAAAATAACATTTATTTTGTTTACAGAAATCTACTGCTTGCCAATTGGTCTCTGGTTTCAAAGCGCATTCGTTATTCTACATTGTATCATACTATATAATTATAAAGACAAATCGTAGTAAACATCTTTGTACATGGTACGATATTATTCCTGGATCATACGATATAAGCAGCTCTATTATGCACACGGAGCTTCCGTGCCGGGCCAGTTAAGTAGGTCTATAGACACCATGCGAAACTGATAGCAATGATAAGTAAGTTAAACTACTGAGCTCATAGTAACCGTAAACAAGGACTACTATAAACTATTCAACAACGATAGCATTACGGGGTGCGAAGTACTAGCATGTCATACTGCCATCTGTGTGCTATTGCTATATGGGAAAATTGGGGTAGAGATGAATAGGTGGATAAAACCGAAAATTGTCTATAGCTATCATAATTCAGATGCAATACTCAGTAATCACTATTTGTAATTTTAATACTAGTTCAGCACGTTCTATAATTAGTGACTCAGACTGAAATGAATGCCAAGATAGATAACGTTGATCAAAACGAGTATACCTCTGTATATTAATATTTCTTACCAGACGCAGTAGAGAAATGATAAAAAAAAAAGTGGTTTATCTTGTAAAGCATCGTATAGCTAGTATTATAAAGACGTACGGTGCCAATCACCAACGCTAGTTAGTACAATACGGATATACCTCAACTATCGCGCTCTATCAAGGCGTGTCGCTATTGAGCGAATGTCTTCTGCTGACATCGATAATAGTGGGGTTCGCCATATAGCCACCAGCCGTATTTACGCAGTGCGATTTCAAACCATCTAGGGCCTGCTCCGCCCCCCTCACATGATGCCGGTATCCGGAATACGAAGCCTGACACTGGTATTATCGCCCAAACAAAGACTTTTTTCAAATGGCATCATTCCACAATGTGTCCTTTATAGTGGCTCTTATCATGCAGCTGTTAAGTTTTTGAGCTTTTTGTGTTTTAGCGTAGCTGTGCACGAGACGTACGAAATTTTTCAAATATCGCTTAAAAATCCGACCCATCAATCTGAAGTAAAAGAACAAACCAGAAAAACACGAATCGTATAAAAAGCCTTTTCTGTGAGCATTTATTCCGCCTTTTTGTGAGCAGGATCTGTTTTAGAATAGCTATTAAGTATCTAGGCCTGTATTGACAAAAAGTGTCTGCTAGCATACTAGGGTTTGCCTCTTAATTTTTTTATGGATTAGAGGGTTCAGTAATTAAATTTGCTCGGTTATAATTGTCTAGTTCCTGACGTGCTCTTTTTTAAAGCCATGATGAACAAAGTACATACAATGAAGTATTAATAAAAAATGAAAAGTTAAATTAAATGAAGTAGTTTCAAGTTAGTTTAAAATTAATTTAAAACTAATTAAATGTTTTTTACCCAAAAAGGTGACTTAGAACGCAAATATGTTGAAAGCTGCGTATCTTCGTGGACCCCATTTCCAAAATCGAGTAGGTTTCTATAAAAAAAAAAAAACGAAAAATTTGGCTATAATGTTTTGATTATTCCTCGTCTAATGTGAATATATGCTAAAATGAAAGCTGTTCAAACCCCATTAGCGTGAATTCCTCGGATTAATCACTCATAATTACAATGCCGAACAATATGAGAGACACAAGAAAGAGCTGTATTAACATCTCTATAATAATGCATAGCTAAAAATAAACTACAAAAAATCTGAATTAAACATAATCCTAATAGAGAACCATAATTCCACATATAACTGAAGGTGTTGGTAAATCTACCAAAGCTGCATTTAAGTGCAACAAAATTACTTGTGTTTTTTTTCAACCAATAAACTATTATACCATTGTTCGTAATAGTATAAATGGTTTTTCGAAGAAAGTGATGACACATGCATCGAAGTTGCATGGTTGAGCATTTTCTATATAAACGCTTTCGATACCGCATTTGATACTGTGGGAAATATCCTGAACAACAAAGAATTTCAATTAAAGACCACGATCAAGATAACAATACCAACTTTTTGGTGGAATCAACAAGGGTCTAGGCTAATTTGGTAGCGGGTGATAGATCTCAATAAGATACATACTTTTCATATTAAACTAAGTTACCTATAACACCGTTTTCGAAACAAACGAGACAGTAACCTTAACAATGAGGCTATGTAATTGCCATAGTGATCCCATTTCCGTGGTATTCTTGGGTTATAGTTTTTCCATACAAAAAAAAAGATTAGCCTAATAATTGCTCCTGTGTAGCAGCTTCCACGTAAGTGGGTCCGATAAGCATTTCATTGAAGTAAAATGCGCCGCTGTCTGGCCCAGAGGAGGTTAAATTTTCTACCAATACAGAGAGCAGTTAGGAGAGTATCGCATTTAGAAAG